AATGTAATCACAATAAAAGCATCTAATTAAAATAAAAATTGCAATTATTTTAGTATGATATCTCAAACTATTTAAAATTCACCTATTGGTGAACTTTATATTTTTTTTGTATATATTTTTTTAACAAATATTACTTTGTGAAAACACTTGTAATGATGATTCATATCCTCCACCATGACGCCATCGTTCCTCATATCGATACGACGTTATCGCAGCCGATAATACTATACAGCTTACTGTAAGCGCCGAAGATGGCAACATAATTGTCAAAATACGCTTATCCGTGTATAAGAGTTTTTACTAAAGAAAGAAATTACTGTAAATGAAATATTAAATCCAGAAAATGACTGTGGCTTAAATTCGCAATCATAGACATCGATTATTATTATAATGTAATAGCCATTTAATAGTTTATATAAATTTGTAATATTAAAGACTATTATTAATCTGAATCTGAAATATGTAGATTTTCCAACCCCTCGGTATATTCTTTCGACCTTACAACATCATCATTTTTCGGATTGAGTTCATCGATATATTCTGTAAGTAACTGAATGGTGCTGAAGTTTACATTACTGAAAGCCAGCTTCAGATGAGATAAGAAAGTTTTCGCGTTCTCTAAACTATTGTACTCGATCCACACATCACTGACGGTAATTTTCAGGGATTTTTTTTTTTGAGCGCTCAGGCTTGTATATTGTATTGTAAATTCTCGATTGTCTATAGCGTAGTATCGATTGCTAGCATCGCATCCGAAAGGCTGACAAAGCGCAACCAGTATTGGAACTAAAATGTCATAAACGCTGCTTATTGTTCCTGTCTTGTTTATAAGACTTCCGAGAGCACCCAGTAAGATTTTTACATGTAAATCTCGGGACAAATTTAATATACTACCGAATTCAACCACTAGATTGTACCATGCTTGTGCGTAGTGCAAGTAGGGTTCAGAATTCATATCGTAATGTAGTAAATATGTCATGTGTTTTAACGTCAGACGAAACATGATGATTTTTAAAAAGTCATAACACGCGTTATAGTATAATTTAATGGGATAAAGGTTGGTGTTATTCCAATTCAAGTAACGCGCATTTACCCAAAATATATACAGTATCGTGCTAGTGTAATTCCATTCCATTTTCAGGTTGTATACGTATTGTAAGTCATTTTTAAGCTCTTCATAAAAGCCCAGGTTGTGCAAAAAAAGCGATTGGTTTGTTATATAACCTGTGAGCGTTTTTCTCAACAAATATTTACTTATTATACTGTTTTTTTCCAGCAGAGCTCTGGATTTTTTCAAGTGCTTTACGACTATATTTTTATATATATCAAATCCAAACATCTTACGTGAGTGTGACTCTAATACGCTGTCGTACCAGTCGAATGAATTGTCTTTACGGCACCCGGCTAGGTCATCCTCTAGTTTATTGATGACATAGTCAAGAGTTTCAAACATTTTTGGATGGTCTTCCGTAGGATGTCTTGATTCCTGATAAGAACCGGTTACCAAACTCGTGAACAAATGTAGTAACCACATGGCGCCAATGCGTACTCCATTCAAACCAAACAGCGAAACTATCTGGGATTTCACTATATTGTTGATAATATGAATGGTGCCAAACAAAAATTTAATATCTGTATTATATGGTGGTGCAAGTAAAAGCTTAATTACCCTTAAGTGTGTATACCCGTCAAGCATGTATCCACATTTTAAGTCGTTATAGAGTTCATCATTTTTAGTAGGGTTTTCCGCATACTTGTATCCAGTTTCCAATGACCGCACTGAAGTGTATACGAACAACATCAAGCCCAGAACAGTTTTCAGTATACTGTAATGCACCATATTTAATTTTTAAAAAAGATTTATTCGGTCAAAAAGTAATACGTTTGCTTGGTTCTTAAGGTGACGAATATTTGTAACTGAAGATATTATAGCTAATAACACAAAATTTGAATTTTTTTATTCATGCTTATGGCACTACAAGGAAAACAACATTTTTGCTGTAGTTGTATTTGCTTAGACCATATTTTTTGACTAAGTGAAATAAAATGGTGAGAACAAATGTGAACAAACAGTTTTTGAGATTTTTTCAACAATAGTACAATATAAAACATTGTATCGACTTCAGTATTTTTTAGAACTTGTTGTCTGTTGAATGAAATGCTAGAGCTTAATACAAGTAACCAATCGCTTTTTTTGCACAACCTGGGCATACTTGAAAATCTCAAATACGACTAACAATACGTGTACAACTTGAAAATGGAATGAAACAACACTAGCACGATATTGTATACATTTTGGTTTAATGCGCGTTACTTGGATTGGACTATCACCAACCTTTATCCCATTAAATTATACTACAACGCGTGTTATGATTATTTAAAAATCATCTTGTATCGTCTAACGTTAAAACACATGACATATTTACTGGATTACACTATTAAATCGGCCCTCTACTTGCACTAAGCACAAGAATGGTACAATCTAGTGGTTGAATTTGGTAGTATATTAAATTTGTCCCGAGATTTACACGTAAAAATCTTACTGGGTGCTCTCGGAAGTCTTATAGACAAGACAGGAACAATAGGCAGCGTGTATGACATTTTAGTTCCAATACTGGTTGCGCTTTGTCAGCCTTTCGGATGCGATGCTAGCAATCGATACTTTGCTATAGACAATCGAGAATTTATAACACATATACAAGCCTAAACGCTAAAAAAATAAAATCTCTAAAAATTAACGTCAGTGATAAATGTAACACTTGATACAATATTGTAAAAGAAAAAAAAATCTTAATCAAAATTATTTTTAAGCAAACATTCGATTCTAGTTTCAACCCAGATGTAGTATCACAGAGTGATCCATTAAGAACAAAACACTAGTGACTTAAGCACTTAAAAAAGTATTTATCTTGAAGTCTCGATAACATACGATTTATTAGTAATTTAAAAACAATGATATTTACAAACACACGAATATATTTGTAAACGATTTTGAAAGAGTAGTATTTATTATTTATTTTAATAGAAAATAGTACGAATCGGTGTTAGATTTTAATTTTGACTAATACCTAGTAACAATATAATACGTTTGAACCATTATACGAGCTTATCGTTCTTAAAAAGTCTTTTGTAATGAAAAATGACCATAATTTATATAAAATAAATGGAATTGTCCTAAAATCCTACATTACATTTATTTTTTGTTTACTTTTAACAGTGTATTCCTTGAAATTTTGTTCTCGGTGTTTATGCAAGCTTATTTACTTTTGGAGTCCTGTCCACAATGGTTTAAGCCGTCAAACACAGTAGTTACGATTGTAACACATTGTGTTTGACTAAATACAAATACACTTACTTATATATTACGTACATATTTATATATATATACAGTGTGGTCCACAACGATTTGACAAACTAAATAACTTGTTCTAGTGAATATTTTTAAGATTTTTTTTTTAATAGTTTATACTTATTTGCGCTATAAGCACCACGTTTTTTATTGCACTTAACTATTTTAATTTTTTTAATTTTTTTTGTTAAGAATGATTTGCTGAAAAGGTTGACTGGTCGATAACTAGATTTGGTAATTACTATTTAAGTTACTAAAGATTAAAGGGTAGGATAAGAGGGAGAGTGTGATAGAGTTATGCGTCCAGATAAAAATAGCCAACAAATTTTAATTTGAACACCTTTATTGTCATTAAAAATATGATTAAGTTGGCAGTAATTATTGGTACGTTTACATAAACATGTTAACTCATGGAAAAAAAAAACAAATTTCAGATTTTTAGTGTCACTTGCTCAGTAGTTATAGCGGAAAATGTAATCACAATTAAAATTAATCTAATTAAAATATAAATTTCAACTATTTTAGTATCATATCTCAAACTATATAAAATGCTTACCTTTTGGTTAACTATATATTCTTTTTGTATATATTTTTTAACAAATATTAGTAAATTAAGGATTATACTTATGTATCACATAGGTCCCTAAACTAAAGTTGAATTTTTTTGAAGTTGCCTACTCGTATAAGTATGCCAGGGTCGAATGGGTCAATTAATTACCGATTGAACTTAAGTCCCTTTTTTTATATCAACTTTGTGAAAACACTTTTAATGATGAGTCATATTCTCCACCATGACGCCATTCCTCTTCATATCGATATGACGTTATCGCAGCCGATAGTAAATTAAATATCTGTAGTGTAAAATAAAATTAGAAAAATTAACTAAAACGTTTTTTTATGTTTTTATATTGACAAAAAAAAAAAAATTTCACTGTTTTTCATATAGATCAACTTATTCTCCATATAGTATAGGTATAAAGATAGTAAAAAGTACAATACATCATTCAAACATAATGCCTAAATTGTGCAATAATTACCTATTCATATTTAACGAAACATAATAATTACTACGAGTGACTATAGATTATGTAATCCTATAATTGTACACATTCTATCATAATATTAACTATATTAAATACATTTATAAATTTCGATTTTGGTATAAATTATAAAAGTATAATATATTTAAAATATTTGCTGTCAAATAGCTTCTTTTCGGTGTAACCACATTATAATATGATGTTAAAAAACAACGCCCACTTACAGTTGTTGCTGATATAGTTAAGTAATTTTTATAACTACGTTTTGCTGTACCGGCAGTAGCAGTAGCAGACAGAGGCCAACATTTTTTAGAAGGTGCCAAAGTTTAAATTGTTTATTAACCAGTGGGGACGGTAACCCTCACATCCCTAAAATCACATATAATATTAGTCACACCACTAATTTTTCTATTGTAATACCTAAATAAATAATTACAAATATTTTAAATTAACAATAAAAATTGTATTATATCAATTCAAATATACAACGAATTCACACAGTAGACATTTATTTTTTAATAAAACAATATTTAAATGTTAAACTCATTATGTTACAATATTTGAGTATTTTTATGTCATAAAATCATTTTTAATATAGGATTATAATTTATTTTAAAAATCATAAAAGTTGTAGTTATGAATCTTAACTAAATGTATTTAAATTTTGGAGGGGGCCATATAGAGGCCAAGACTTTGTAGAGTGGAACAATCTGGCCTGGTTGGTTGGGCTGATCTGAACAAAAACGACAACAAACATTAAATCGCCTATTTGAATATTTAACGATACGAGTATAATAAGTATAAACCAAAATTCTACTTATATCATAATGTTTAAAATAACTTTTAAAAAAATAAGTCAAAACGAATGTGTTTTCAATGCCCGATTTTAATCGAGGACCAAAAGATACCATTCACTATTTTACTGTGAAGGTTTTTGTAAAAATGATGAAAAGCGGCGAGGAGGGAATTTCTAAAATTATCGTTTTTAAATTATAGAGACACCGACATAAGCGCCGTAAAATTAATGCACTTTGGCAGTGCATCAAAGTCAAGCAAAAAGTAGGTCAAATGGTGATTGTGGTGTCATTGAAATAGTATGTGTCCAAAAAAGGTGCCCTGCCTCTACGGTAGGAATGGATCATTTGGAAATGAACGGATGACACCAGTTTTGTGACTAAGCTGTGAAAGGTTCTTAACGAACGAACGTTGCGCTTGAATTGATCCAAATGGAAATCGCTGTCGACCGACTTGATGGACTTGATGGATTGCACGAGTTCGCCGTGGTAGACATCGTCCACGCCGAGTAGTATGAGAATCCTCAAGACGGCCGCCAGAGCCATGGATACGATATGGTCGAACGACGACGGTTTGGTGTGGTTTTTGGCAGCAAGAAAGGCGCAGATATCGGCGAACACCTTTGTGTCGTCGATTTTCCAGTCGTCCAACGCACTTTCCAGACTTTTCAGGAACAACGCCGTCTGTGCAGTGATATCGGATTGGCTTTGCCGTTGCTCGAGGCTCTGCCAGCCCGCCAAGTGCACCAGCGCGTAGCACAGCAGTTTGGCTCTCAACACGAGCCCGTAAGCGTCGTGGTACTCGACACAGGCATAGGCGTCGACCATCCACCGTCCGTCGCTTAGCCGCTCTTCGCACCGGTCCCTCGTCCATTGCACTAGCCACGCCAAGCTCTTCCATTCGATCCGCACGCAAGGCACGTTGCCGAAAATCACTAGGGTCTCGTGCGAGGAGTACAGTTCCAACGGATACAAGTGGCTCATGGCGAACACGTGCTCGTTCTGGTATACCCGGCTCAGCGAGTAGTTGTTGTACAGCGGATCGACCAACGCCTGCAACGATTCCATGTCGGTTTCGGCTTGCCGGACCACCGGGTCTTCAGCAACGCCGGCCGGCAAGTAACCGCTAAACTGGCAAGTGCTGATGAAATTACTCAGATCCGCGTTCAAACGGCGGTCGCCGAACAAGTCGTCGGGGATCGTAGCCTCGTATTTGCCCCACTCCGCCACGGCCATCAGACGGTTATTGAACGCCCAAAGCCAGTCGTGCGCCACGGTTTTCCCGTTAAACAGCACCGCAAGCATGCGCGAAACGTCCCGTTTGAATTGGCCGAACGCGGCTTGAACACATTCCGGATCGTCACCGTTCCTCCGTCTGACTACCGAACCCTTCAGGAATGCCAACATTGCCCGCACGACCAGACCGTTGTAACACTGCAAGGCCTGCATCTTTTCGTAGTACTTTTTTACCGACACTAGTTGTTTACGCCGAAGTCTTTTGGACAACCCTCCCCGGCCCTGTGACAGCACCAGCAGGTCTTCGGTATCGAATGTGATTGCATTAGTTTCCATTGTTTTCATGTCGCACAATGCCGTTAAGAATACATCGTTGTACGCCACTTCCAAATCTGCCGTACTGGTATTCTGTTGAAAAATAACAAACTTTACAAAATACACGGATTCCAGTTAAACACACATATACCCGGTTGCGCCAAACTTCAAACTTATCGAAAAAATGGTATCAGCGGTAGGAGTTAATATTATTATCATACAGGGTCTAATCAATGATAAACTGATAACGCACAACTCCATTATCTAACTCCAATGACCCTGTAGTTTAATTCGTGATAAAGTAAATTTTTAACAACAGATAAAATTTAAAACATGGTTTATGCAACAGAATTTATTTTAATCCCAATTAAACGAGATTATCTCTGTGTAAATATTTGGTGCAACCGGGCATTAGTGTAGCGTTTACTAAACCGTGCCGGGGGATTTTGGTCCAATATAAATTTACTAAATTATACTACACATTTTTATAGTATGGTAACACTCTCTACAGATCCGTATTAAAGCGGCTTCTGCGGTAAATAATTATTTTAAACTTTCAACGTACCTTTGAAATATAGCTACTCATCAAATTACACTGGCCGTTAATAACTAGTATTACGTTGGCGAATAGTCCACAGAACATTATGAGACTTTTAGTTGTTGAGAACATTTGTTAAACTACTTATTCGCAGTGCATCACACTAATATAAATTTTATAAACTTAGTTATAAATTTATTGAGTTGTTGCTACAAGTGTCAAAATAACTGCTTACAAATCAAAATATGAGTTACACTTAAATTGTAAAATAAAAGGACTATCATATTCAGTTGTAAATCCAAACTGATTTGCATTGCATTGCATACGAAGTAATGTATTGCACTATTTTTTCATGTGCATAACTAAACAGATAAGGTACATAATGAGTAAGTACATCACTTTGCAAACAAAAACAAAATAATTGAAATATGTTCAAAAAACAAATATAAAAGTAAATAAAATATAGTAGTTTACATTTTAAACGTGATTGTAGTTGAATACACAAGTTAAAAAATACACGCTTAAAAAACGTGACATACATTAACAATTTTGAAATAATTTTTTTTTTAAGCTTGGCGGTTGAAGTGTAGCTTCTAAATAAATAATTATGAATTTAAAACATGTAAAGTCAGTGTATACATCATTAGCACATACTCGCCGTTTATTATTTAAAAAATTGTATCACTCAAATCGACCAATAAAACGTCTCGGTTAATGTTAAGTTCTCATTACTTCTTCTAATGTTAATGTTCTCGCTTCTTTTATTGATTCTTTGGAACATGAAACATATGGATTCTATAAAACAAGTTAGGCTAGCTTAAGAAAAATAATCATTGAAGGTTAGTCATGCATGTCATAGGTAAGCTAACATTTAAGACAATAAACCAAATAGTTATTTGATTAGGTAATATATTAATTGTTGTTTTTTTTTTGCTTTGACTAAAAATACCAATCTATATTTTGCAGAACTAAATAATATACAAATTAATCGCTTGAAATAATCAATTATTTTACTACTTTATTTCTATTTTCTGTATTAGATTGTTTCGTTCAGTTTAGGTTTTTGTCATTTGAAAGAAGACGATTATAGTAGTTTAGTCATGGCTAATTTTTACTTTTTTTCTGTGAATTTTTTGTTGTTTTCGAAAAACCATGATAAAAATGTTAAAAATCGGATCATTATACGAGGCGTCATCGTTTTTTGCCTACCCTCCACGCTCTCCGTACCAAAAATATTTAAAAATATACTTATTTAAGTATGAAACCATCGCTTAAGGTACAACACCTCATATCTCATTCTATGAAAACACGAAAAATGTATCAAACTTTACAGATTTTTTATTTACTACTCAATAACATTACAACCATATTATCGATTATTCGATTATAGATATTGTTCTATTGACTTCATCATAAAACTGAACCCCCCGCGCAAATTAAAATAAAACAGTGTGGCCAACTTAATTTAGCCAAACAATGAGATAATAAAGGTGTTGAATTATAAGCTACTAAATACAAATAATATATTGTGATCTTTACCTCGGTTACCGTTTTCGAGCTATTTCGTATAACAACATCAATCGTCTCGTTGTAGTGAAACGTGTATGGAAACGAGACGGTCCCGCTGAGGAAGAAATTCACAAACTCAAAGTCGACGGGATGAATAATGGACAAGATATCGGCGCAAAACGTCTTCATGGCGTCACAGTTGTGTAAGATAACATCGTTTTCCGCTCTGTTAGTGATATACTTAATGGAATTTTCCATGACGTCTTTGTGCACTCGTTTCACCCGAAGCGCGATCAGACTCCTAGTGACGACGGTTCTCACTTCGTTGATAATTCGGTCGAACTGAACGACTTCCTCGTTTTTTTCGCTACTCAATAGATGGATGATTTCAATAAAAATGTCTTCTTTTATTTTCAAATCGCCTATGGCTTTCTGTAAATATTTTGGAAAATCGCTCGTGTCGGTTGCGTCGGAATGCGACGACCTCAACAGTTTGTGCTGGAACTTCAATTTCCTAAACGTCAACAAATGCACCAGTGTGTAGCATAGGAGTTTCGTGATCACCACTTGCACGATCAGGTTTTGGTAGTCGAGGCACGCGAACGGCTTCTTCAGCCACACGCCATTTTCCAAAGACGTTTTGCATTTTGCCGTTTCCCAATCAAACTGTACCATGGTGTAGTGCCATTCGATGGTCATACGGGGCACGGCTTCGAACAGCTTAGGCTTTTCATTGGAGAACTCCAGCAAGTACATGTTGTCCACTACGAAGAAGTCGGCGAACTTGTAAGTCGACCACAGCGAGTGGTTGTTGTAAAGGCCAGCGGTGATCGCCTTCAACGAATCGACGCTCGTCTTAGCTCTGATCAAATCCTCGTATTTTTCGTGGTCGACCGGTAAGTAATAGTTGGCCACACACGTGTCAATGAAGTTGTCGAGATCCACCGTTAGCTGTGCGTCTTCGAACAGGTCGTCTTCGATCGACTCCCGGTAAGTATCCCATTCGGTGACCGCCAAAAACTTGACGTAGACCAACCACAGCCAACTGGGCGGATTCGTCTTGCCGTAATACAAAACCGAGAGCATTCGAGAAACGTAAACTCTAAACTTTTTGAATACGCCGGATATCCGTTTGCCATTGGTGGTCTCGTTCTTCCTGAGTCGTATCGAACCCTTCAGAATGGCTAACATGGACTGTACAATCACGCCGTTGTGGCACTGTAGAGCCTGCATCTTTTTCCTGTACTTGACCAGCGCGCAATGCTTTTCTTCGAGTTGGTTTTTATTCTTATCAAAATTATTGCACAGCGATCGTATGTCTACATCTTCGAACACTAATCGAAAGGCCTCCATTGTACGCATGCGGCAAAAATGCTCGACAAACTCCTTATCGTACGTTCTTCTGATATCATTATCTGCCACAATTCCTTTGTCTTTAGTTCGCTAAAAAAAAAATATATACATCATAATATCCATCATTTAGGTACAGTATAAAACAGCAAGAACCAGTGTACAGTAAGCACAGTAAGCAATACAATAATTACAAGACAGATGATAGTGTCAAAATAGTAAATACCGTACAAAAAAAAAACCATGTGGACGTTCTATAAGTAGATCTATAGTCCGATAGATTTGATAAATTTGATAGACGTTATAGATCTATAGACCTGAGGATCTAAGACAGTTTTTCAAAAAAATATAAAGCAATATTATGCAAAATATAAGCAAACCGCAAATGTTTAATCCTAGACCTTTAACAGTAATAAATTATCATGAAAATTAAAATATAACTATGATATAACTTTTTAACAACAGTTGAACAGTTTCTGAAAGACAATATTGTAAGTCAAATTCACAATGTTCCAGACGATATTGAAAACTAAACAGAAAAACATGAAAAACAGGTCCGGTTATTTTCTCTGGATTTAACAAACACTACAAACTATATCCTTTAAGTTTTATTTATATTCAAACTTGCAGTTTGCTCATTTGTAACGAAATATTTTCTTCGATTACTTATACAAATAATAATTATAATTAAATTTTTAAATTACAATTTTAATTATAATTAAATATTACCATTAAAGAACTTATCTTTGGCCATGTCTTCAAACGAATGCTGTCCACTGTATTCGTGTAAAATATAAATGTACAGAGAAAATAAATAATGCAAATTTTCGTAAACATTACAAAACGAATACAATTTTTAATTCACGTGTGATCACTGTTTTTTCTAATGTAACATTGCACGGCAAATATTATATTATCAGTTACTGATCTTAGTAGTTTTATGATGCAGTTCTACAAGAGGTCGTGTGTTCGCAAGTGTTGGAAAATATGTGTATTTGTTGTAAATGTTAAAAACATAGTACAAAACAAAATATAGACAAATACAATTTCATAGTCACTCAATAGTATTAACTGTACAATTTTCAAGTCCCGCCTTCAAGTTGTGAAATCTGAATAAAAATAAAAATTAAAGAATTTTACACGTATGTCCCAATTGCATGAAAGATACACAATAAGCTTGTGTAAATACACATAGTATACCTGTTTGCGTCACTATGCATTTGGTAAACAATAACCACTTTTTTATCGTTTGTACTGCATAGATTAAATAGACTTGATACTAAATAATTGTACATCACATTGCTCTCAATTTTTTTCATAAGTTTCAAGAAAAAAAAAAAGGCTGAAGCAATTAACTATTTCAGCATTATTAAATTGTGATATATCCAGTGAGCGATATCTATAAAATAAAATCGGTCAAATGTTTAAAAAGTCATGGTGAATCTGGCATAAAAAAATAATAATAAATAAAAATCATGAAAATATAAACCCAAATATTTTCTCAACTCCGCAATAATATTAAAACAAATTCACTGTAAATGTATATTTTAGAAGAAAAAAGAATACAATTTGGTTAACTTTATATTTTAAGATATCATATTTTATATTTTGTTGCAATAAAACTTATATAGCTAATTATAATGTTGGCACAATTTTAAAGAAATTGAAATATTTGTAACAACTGTGAATGAGTTTGCAAGTGGATTTCAGTGATTTTACATAGGAACGATTTTAAACTTTTACCAGCTGCCATAAATCCAAACTTAGCCAATAACTCACATCTCATTCAAGGTTTTCTTGTTGGTCCAACGAGTTAGACATTCATTCAAGGTGTGCTAGACTCCTCGGACTACATCCTAGCGTACTCAGTCAACTTTGACCAAAATTCGACTTACACACTTATTCACAGTTGTTATAGATATAATTCATAGAATTATGAAATTACAATATAGTATAATGAACTTGGGTACTTAATTTACATTATTTGTGTACTCAGTTGATGTAAGAAGTAGGATAAGTGTATAAATTAAGTTTTCTTTCTTAACTTTAAATAAATAATTATAATACTACCTAAACAATAATTCAAATTGATTAATTTGTTATTTACAGAAGTAATATTGAAGTAATATGGCACACTTTAAATTGGTTAACTAATTAAAAAACGTTTTATCATAAATTATAAAAACTTAAAGGGTAACTAAATAATCAAAGTAACGTTAAAATCATGTAAAACAATTGGACAAGTTGTAATAATATATAAACAAAAAACGATAAAATAAAATACAACAAATAAAGGCATTCACCTCAACACCTACAAGTAAAGAATAATAATAATTTATCCCATTTATAATACATGGGTTTAAAATAACATTATAACAGTATGCAGTTTAAAATTAAATCGGACAAATGGTTAAAAAGTCATGGTGGGTCTGGCATAAAAAATAATAAATAAAAATCATGAAATTATAAACCCAAACATTTTCTCAACTCCACAATAATATTAAAACAATTCAAAATAAAAATTGATATTATAATGTATACCTATAAATAAAATATATCAAATTAATTTTCAAGGAACAATTGAAATTTCGTAGTTTATCTAATAATATTTTTTTTTATTTTTAATATTAAGAATAATTTATTGAAAATTAGTTCTTAGTATTGAACATCAGTTGATAAGCAGTTTTTGTAAGGGCACTATGCAGAATGCGTGTATTTAAATAAAACGTAGTAATGCCCTTTTTTTGCCAAGTTGATTATCTCATATAAAGTTTTATATTTAGAATAATTTATTTTTGTTATTATTTGATTTTAATAAATATTTTTATAGCGTTACATTAAAGGATTATAAAAATTAACGAATAATTAAGTAATTGAATACTAATAAAGTTTAAGATGCAGTATTAAATAGGTTAGACTTATTATAGGATTCAATTGCAATATTAAGCTATACATTTTAATCATAATAAATGTGCATATTATTTGTTTTTCATTAAAAAAATGAATAGTTAAATTATTGACATCAAATATTCAGCATAATATGTATTGTATGTTATTTAAATTATATTAAGCGTGTATGTAATATGATTATTTTCAAATTAATGATGATATTGAACGCATCTGTTATGGGTCCTTAAGCATAATAGTTATACAAGGAGTTGATGTTATTCATTATATTTTGTTGTCGATATTATTTTTGTATGTGTACTGCATTGTTTCCTAAATTACCCAATGTTAGTTGATAGTTTTTAAAAAGGTAATTGAATTTTAAAAATGTGCATCAAATACATATGATTATAATAGCGTTTAAGCTTTAATTCTAATTTATCCTACTTAAAAAGTAGCATGACCTAACCTATATAAGATATAGTGGAAACAAATGTCTTTATAAATTACTAAAACGATCATATGAATATTAAATACTAGTACGCTGATATATATCTATATATAAAATTAAGTTGTTTTAAGTTGAAATATTATTCTACATTTATTTTGTTTTGTATATTCATTTTTGATTTTAGATTTTTAAATAATATTTTTCATATGGAATATTTTAAGTTGTATCAGATTAAGTTAAGTTTCATATTTAGGTAGAATTATACATACTAATTATGCATAATACAATAATATTATGGTTAAGCAATTAAAGTAATGGATTATAATTATGATTAAGTTTTACAGTGAAATAAGAAGATTTGTAAGCATATATACTCACATAAATAATGAGACATCATATTATAACATTTTTGAGACTAATCTCAATACCTCCGATTTCTATTTCTACCGTAGTAATTTTCCAAATACTGAGCATACGCACTATCTGCTGCCAGCCAATCTTGATATTCAAACCAATATTCCTCCCACTTGATGTACTCGTTCAACGAAATATCTTTTAAATATCCTTGCACTTTGTAATCGAGAAAGCGTTCTTTGGCGCCTTCGATGGACGTTTGTCTGGGCGGAGATCTAGCGAAAACGAAAAACGAACAAATCAAATGAAATATAACATAGGAAAACCTATAATATACGTCATTATATAAGAGTATAAATAACCTACTTTATCCCAAAGTTAGTAAACGGACAGTCAACTGCGCTTATTACAGCTCTGCTGCCACGACCCTCCAATGATATTCGAAGATTTCCTTCGGGTAATTTATGGGTACCACCCAATTTGGCTAGTCTGCCGAAACGTTCTGAAAGTGTCAGTTGTTCATCAGATGATGACAAATCCGAATCCTAAAATTTGATTATCGTATAAGTGTTTAATTATTTAAAAAACAAAATAATAACAACCAGTGTACCACAAGGATTTCCAAATAAAAAAAAAAATCTAGAAAAATCTACTAGGTATTTAATTTTTTTTTTCTCTATATTAAATAATATTAATTTTTGTTTTATTTAAATTTAACGCGGAAAACAAAATGATAAAAACTCAATTCCTTAGGTGATATATTTCAATTCAAGGGTAGTAAATCCTCATGGAACGCCTTGTAAAATAAGTAGTTATGCAATTCGTTTGCGAGTCATTACAGGAATGATTGTGGTGGGCTTTTTCTTGTCTTCAGTTGGCTCGGTTTTTACATGCACCGCCGGTCTCACAGCTGGTCTTCCAGATTTTTGGTTTGACGAACCCGCCTCCGAATCTAATGGATTGTATCTCGGCACGGAAAACGACCGTGACCTTAAACAAAATAATTAGTTATCACATTATCACAGAACGCATTAAACCAGATGGTGCACTTCGACTGATAACTGGATGATCTCTTCCGAGATACGTGTTGACCACATATTTGAGGAGGATTTTGGTTTGTTTAAATTTTCGGGAATTGCATCGCTTAATCAGGAAGTGTACCATCTGATTTTATCTTTTGTGTGACATTAATACCTAGATCGGTCATGGAGCGGTCGAACATAAACGGGGAATTCATCCGATATCTTTTTAGAAGTTCGTGGAGGTTCCACTTTAATATCGCTCGAGCATTTCATGTTAGCATAACATGCCCCCGAATCAATCTCCTGTAAGAGTCGTGCATAATGTAAGAAAAAATATAAAAATTATTTTTATACTCTTGCACACCTTTCCGGAAATATTATATCCATAGCCATCGTAGCGACTTCTTTTTTCTTTCTTAATCGATGTAACCGGAGGTCTATCAGTCGATACAGCCCCGACAACACGTGTTGAACACTGTGAATTACAGGGCTTTTTTGAACTCGACGAGCTGACCTGCGAAATAAATGCCAAAGGTAAAAACAACATACATGTGATTTATTTTTACGTATAAGTTTACTGTTTCAGAAGGCTGTCGATTACGCATTAATATACAGCATTTGGATTGTTTGCATTTTGGCGAAATCTGAGCCTTTTGCCTTTTCTTGCTCGATCCAGACCGTTCCTCTTTAGAAGTGTCACGTCTTCCTCGAGATTTTTCCCTCGAAGACTTCCTAGGAGCGTCCGGAGAACGACATCCTGACAGTAGTTTTTCGGATAAAGTGCGCTTATCATAAGGCGAATGTGAAAGTATTTCCTTCTTTGGCTTTTTGTGAGGCGGTGATCTACGCTTTGGTGATCTTGACGGTGAACTGGACGATGAACTGGATGATGAACTGGACGATGAACTGGACGAACTACGGGTTGTGCGTTTATTATGAGACTTAGACCGACTTCTGTAGTATAGTTGTTTATAACCAGAATGTTTCCACCTAAAAAATAATCAACAATAAACTATCGACAGTATTTAAACAAAAATAAGGAATATGAAAAACATTTTGTAGTCATGTTTTACTCACTACTCTAGTTTAAAAGGTGTATTATAATTTATTCCTACGTTATTTACCTGTTTGGATCTCTATCTTCGGCTTGCAATACTTTGTCATTCCAATATTGGCTTTGATTCTTATTTAATCGAGCTCGCTTCACAGCGGCTTCTAACTCCCTTCTAGAAGATTCTAAAATTTAAAACAAATTAATAGAAAATGTTGATTTTTTGAGCAAATTAAACATAGTTTTATTCACATACCTGAAAGTCTTGCACTACTAGTTGGCACTTTTTGATCGGATAGTTTCATTTTAGACACTTTTTGAGCTACATAAATAAATGAAACCAAACTTATAGTAATCATCGCAATTAATTATACAATTATTTTTACAATGTTATATTTATAAAACAATTTAATAATATTTAGCCAATAATTTAAAAAAAAACGTAAATAACTATTTTGTTTAAATAGTACAACATACTAAAAATTTAAAAACAACAAGTATGAATATATTAATTTTTATTTCAAAATTCGTAATAATTGTAAACATATTTTAATTTGTTTTTTTCTCATCATTAATGTGAGCATTTAACAAAAAAGTTATTTTTATAAACTTTTGATCAAGTTGATTTATTTTTGAATTCATTTGTATTAGGATTAAGAAATAATAACTCTTTAAGTATGTTATTTTTTAATTTGAGTAATAATCATTTAAGAGACGGGGATGATTACAAAAAAAAACTTTAATGTTTTACTAGGGCCAAAAGGGTCCCGATTAAATTTTTATAAGAACTGTAAAATAAAACATTAAAATTTACTAAGAAAAATAATCAATTTTTTTTTTAAGAAAAACAAATGAATAAAATAGTTTAATTGGTAGATAAATTAATCATTATGTATATGGAATAATTGTTAGACCAATTTAACTGGTAAAAAATGTAAAAAATAATTGTATTATAGTACCTATAACAATATAATATTTATAGTTGCTAATTAATAGAAAAATAAATTTAAAAAAAACTTTTTTAAAAACATGCTTCTCTAAAAAAAAATAGTAAAAAGGTTGTTGAATAAGGCCCACGCTTTTCTTTTTAGTCAAAAATTAAAGATGTTTAACATTATTTAAAATTGTTGTTAATTTTCGGTTATTTTCAAAGTAATTGACATTTTAAATAAAGTATGCTACAATTGATTGGCAAATGTTCTTGTAATAAAATTATTTTTTACTTTTTAGTTCACTTTTTACTATTCTTTTCTTAAGTAAACGATTAGTAAGGATTAGTTATGCCTAGAGAGAGGATGGCCAATTGGTAGAGAAAATAAATAGGACAACACCTTTAGGGAGACCCAGGGTTCCGTGGATTAATGTAGTTGCCAAAGATGTGAGAAGATTGCGTTCTAAATGTCTGCGAATAAAAGAGAGAAGTATAGATTGGTGGTAGCATTTATCCTTAATATACCAATGGGCTGAAGAAGAAAAAACGATTGATTTTGGCGCGGAATCGATAGTTGAATGTTAGGATTTTCCAAGTTAACCAAACCTTGCTATAACTGTGGTATACCAAATAACTAAGTAAATTTTTAAAAATTACTTCAACACAGTGTTATATTTTCGATAAGGACATGATAAAAATATAAAATGTACTAACCTAACCATAAAGGTAACAAGTAACTAGCAAGACATATTCGTTATTGAGCCTATACTAATTGTACTTGAATATTTAAAAAAAAATTATTTAAAAAATAATATTACAATTATATTATTTTGAAATACCCATTTTATTTGATCAATAAACTACAAAAAATACAGTCGAGTTATAATAATTTTTTTACGAGGCGTCGTACAGGCGTTTACAACAATTACCTACTCGTGTATAATGTAATTTAATAAACATTTTTATAATAAATAGCAATATAATGTTTATGAGAATTCGAGAAATGTACGTAGGTATTATTGATAAAACAATGAAAGGAGATGATCCTTTTAATCACACTGCAAGACGATCATATCGAAGTTCTTTAGGTTATCTTATCGTTTCACACAGGATTCAACGTGTATTGGATAGCAGGCAAATGACAAAACACGAGAGTTTACAATATTAATTATCGTTAAATAGTACTTTACTATTAGTCATAAAAAAATGTACGCGGTATTCGAACAATAGCGCAATTTCAATAAATAATTTACCGTTTACACGAACTAAAAAGAACAATTACGCCATTATCTAAGTATAGACACAAGTCGTTATATTATCTATATTATATAAAATAAACTATTGCCGAGTTGCACAAGTTTTATTGGTTCTACTCGTATAAACCGTTAATGGAATGGACTACCTACTGTGATTAGTCCAAACTACTAAACATGGTTTATAGAACCAATAAAGTTTTGTCCAAACCAGCATATATAAAACCCAAAGCCTAAATTATACTTAAGACAGTCAAATCCAAAATAATAAAGTTGAACCTAAGTAGTTTTCAATGCCAACATTGTCACAATTTATCTAATTAAAATTGACTGACGTCAAAACATGTACCTCAGAATTTTCCCACAAGAAAAAATTATTTTTTAAATTTCTGGTATTTTCAAACTAAAAAGCATTAGTTTTGTTGCAAAAAATAACTTTTGTCATTTTACATTATTTTGAACAAATATTTTAAACAGCAAAAACGTTATCTCTTGCGCATCAACAATTTTATCAGAAAAGACATTAAGAGGACGTCACACACCAGTTATTTTCTTCAAAAAACCTGCCTTATGCGGATTAATTTTACAAAGGCTATAACTCAAAACTAAGAAACCAAATTTTTACACAATATAGACAATAACATTGTCAGTGTTCTACCATCGCATTTTTAAAAATATTTCAACTAGTTAATGAATAATTAATTAATTAAGAAAGGACTTTTTTTAAAAATTATATAGCGTTGGTTGTAATAGGTATATCGAAAAAATACTAATGATGGAACACAGATAATTTTGTCATAAATAATATGTATACATTTCTTTTCTTAACTATATATGAAGCCCGAGAAAAATTAATTCGCGCAAAGCAGTTTTGAAGGGAAAAAATTGTAATCTATCCTATAGAAATGACTGTGATAGTCTGACAAAAAAAAAATAGCCATCAACAAAGTATCCTCATTACTGTATTAATAATTATGCATTATAGTTCAAACTGTAAATTAAGATTTTTCGAAAAATTGCCTATACTTTACTCCTTAGAAATGGCCGGTGTGGCGTCTTTTTAATATATATGAAGATTGGGTGGCGCCAGCTGCAACTGTTGTTCAGTTCTGCGATTGAGCTGCGTTCGACGTGGATAGTTTTTAAACAAGTAACCAACCAACTACCAAACATTTCAGCAACAAAGCCATGCTTCTAACGGTTAACATGTTAACATGATTCAAATGTTAAAAAAAAAATACTTGGCCATGAAAATAGAAGTTGAAGCGGTAAAAAAATAAATGACTAATTAAGCAGTATAATATCATTTAATAGTTCTTGCTAAGCGAATTAACACCTATTTTGAAAAAACTAGCTACATCTTTAAGCGTGAAGTTGACCTGCAGGGATCAACAGGCAGATTCTCAGGTTACATGTTTACTGAAATAATGTTATTTGAAAATTATTAAATTAATATTAATTTTAAACTTCTTAATTCATCTTTAATTTACCAAAAAGTGTAATTGAAATAATGAGTATAATTAATTGAATAATAATTGTTACTGTGGATCACAATATGTATTTAATATATTTTTATATTAATTTATGTGTACTTATCATACCTACTCAGTTTTTTTAACTAAAAAAATATTAAATGGAAAAAATAGGTAATCTTCATAATTACTGAATTTTTAACGAATAAAAAATAAATTACTCTAAAAAAAAAAATAACCGTAAAATAAATTTTTTTTTTTTAAATTCCATTTTATTCAAACCACGTCAAACTCTGTAGTGAATTTAAGTATAATAAATGTAATAGAAAATGGTCAGAGTGTTAAGAAGGAAAACAAATGAAAAGCAACCGTAATCTACAGTATCATATTTACACAACATATTGACTACGATGAGATTTGCGCCTAGAAATAATAACTGTACAACGCATAAATGAAAAGACCTATGTTGACGAGTCAAAACCAAGCGTTGAAAAAAAAAAATCATATATAGCCTTTAACTGGAAAACTTGTTGCGTTTGCTTTTTTCGTTTTGTTTTGTGGCAAGAAAACTTCTTTTAAAATTAAGCGGACAACGACGAAAACTATTAACGGTTTATGAGTATTTTCATAAGCGTTGTATTCGTTATGCGTTACTAAATAAAAAAAAAACAAAACAAAAGCCAAGCAATACATTGAGATGATACCCGCATACACACATATAATTTACAAATGTAGGAGCTACGCGTACGGTAATATTATACAGGTCAAAGGGACGACATTGTTTCGTCGATTAAAAACATACCCGCAATCGTGTATTTTGTAAACTCCGGCTAGTATGAATCGAGATTGGTTTACCAACGCGCCGAAATACTATGTGCACTCGATATGTTCAGGAAATCGCCAATGTCGACACACAAATAGAAAGATGGACCAGCCAGGTATATTGACACCGACGAAGAACTGCGAAGACTGTTTGCGAACAAGCAACAACTGCGTAGGGAGCTCGGTGGGCGATGGAAATAATCAATACCGCAGACGGGAGGGCGAGGTCGGCCGGCCGGGCCCGTTACATAGCTACCCTCTCGTTGCTGACAGTGTGACCAATACACCAATTGGCAAAGGGTCCGCAGAGTTTGCTCGGAACATTCATCATTGACCACTATAGTTATTAATTTATGACCGTACTATTTACAATAATAATATATTGTATATTGTAATGACGTCTGAGTAGGTATAAGGGCAACTTTACGGACCTGATTGCCTTTACGTTCAACGTCTATTTGTTGTCGCCCTGCCGCTGACCTAAAAAGCCGAACACCCAAAAAGGGCGAAGAGGAAAGGTGTGTGTAGCTTTTACTTTGTCCTATATAACACTTGCTTGCCATTGGGAAGAAACAGCTGACAGCGGCCGAAAACCGAACCACCGACCGTGTGTTATTACGCTGCGTCACTGCCGCCTTATCAAGCCATCGCCATGAAAATAATAACATTATCACAGATAATATCTTATGTTATATGTGAAATTATTTTGTATATCACGAACACCTAGAATAATATGAAATATACAACAATAACACAATTTTATAGAGAATAGACAAAACAAAATAAATATGTACAAACACAAGGTGTTTCACTAAAGATGAGAAAACATAACAACACATATTTCGAAGAATGAAAACGCTTAGGCCGTAAACTAGTTTTATGCCAATAAAGCTTAATTTATTGGGGGAAAATGTATATACATTATTACAATATATATATATATATATGCTGTTTATTGTATTAAGTACAATCCTGGTAAATAAAATCTTCAAGTTGCTGTAGAGTTTTTGTTATAACTTACAAGTGTGAAAATTTTAAAAAGTTGGCCCATTTAGTATTAAACTTAATGAAAAATAACAATCAATTTAAATAGGTATTATTTATTAACCCTTAATAAAACCAGTTTATTTATATGAATAAAATACCGTCAATACGGTAAAAGAAATTATTATTTTGATATCAATTTGACTAAATTGATAAACAAACAAATTTTTGATAAATGTATTATTGAGACAATGTATTTTTCGATTGCCGCGATAAAATCGTTGCTATAACAAAAATGCATTATTATGCTGATAAAACATTTATGGCCTGAGTAGCAATAAAGTATTTATCAAATTAGTCTACATTTATGTTGAATATAACGTTAGTGTATAGACAAACACATAATAATGTTAAAAATGTGGTATATGCTAAGACAAAATTGTGTACCTAATATGTTATATTTTTTAAATGAGGCTACATGGCGTGTGACGTTATTGTTTGTATGTTTATAGGCATTCATAGTTCTTTGCGCATAGAACAATAAAATGTAACGAAAAATATAGTAATAGTAAAACATAATAGTCGATACATTTTTGTACTTAATAACGAACAATAATTATTATCAATCAGTTTTATTAAGTGTTTACGCGTTTGTTAATCTACAAAAATAACATAACTTTTTGTCGTATGATGTTATGAAATCAGCAGAAAAAATGATTTTTGTGACGCTTTTATTATTTCTACTAGTAATTTATTCTGCGGTCGCAAACCACCCAAGTACACCGAAGGTAAATTGAGTATTTTTTTTTAATACAGTGAAAAGCATAGGTATGTATGTTGTATCTTAATGCCCTCCTAAGGGCATGATACAGAATAGTGGTTCTTAAGTGTGATGTGTGCCAACTTAAGTTTGACTGCATCTACCACCGAATCATTTCGGATGGGTGACCGCGTGCAATTTACTTATACATGTCCTTACACGCTTACCTATGTCGTTTATCACAAGTGTCAAACGCCTAAAAAACCCCACCTAAATAAAAATAAAAAATAACGTCAGCTACAGAAGATCAACAAAAATAGTTCGTTTACTGTTCAAAATCGATTGATTCCACAATCGATTGCAATAATTTTCTAAAAAAATTTACAGAGTGTATCACGACTGGGCATAGACCTCGGCCTGTAAATGAGGGCGTAACTTTTATACATTTTAATAGTTATTCGGCATAAGTATTATGGAATATTTATTTGGAGCGTCAACTTAAATGGTTTTAGTCTTTTTTTAATTTTTGTGACTAACAACTTATCTACGGTTTTTATTAGGAAGTTATTGATAAAAAATAAAATTAACTTTTTATTGACTTTAATACAAAGTCGAATAATGCAGTTCAAATAGTAAATAATAAAATGCAATTAATAAATGAATAAAGTAATTTAATCAAACAATATGTTCAATATACAAAAGAGTTTAAAAAAAACAAAACAAATAATTAAATAAATGAATTAAATAATAAAAATTAAAATAAATAAATTAAATAAACATATTGCACACACAGTCACTGACTAAAAAGTACACATAATTTATGGAGTCCGATATTATAATTAATGTTATAAATAAATAAATGTAATAATATAATTATTAATTATTATAAAATATGTATTTTAGTAATTAATTATTATAAAATGTTTAAGTACCTAAGGATTATTTAACTCACTTTAAGAATAACTAAAGTAGTTTTTAACGAAAGCCAAAAAGTGTCACTTATTGAAAGGAAATAGATTTTTACCACAATAAATATTATATAAATTATAAGAAATGGTAGGTAATGATTAAAGGAACAGGCCGATTCTATGTACCACGATTCTGGGCAAGCTTTTAACTGTTGGAACGGGATATGGGACTGAAACTGGGACCCTTGAGTAAGAGGAGGACATAATAACCGGAAAAAGTGTCACAAAAACTCTGTCACACTGTTATCTGATAAGAGATAAGATATGAGGGATGGGGGTGGGAATGGGAATTATTTTACTCAGCCCTGGCAGATTAAATCTCGGGCAACGCCGGGTCCGGACAGTTTGTGATATTATATAATATCATACATTTTAAATTAGGTTTTCGCTAAATTTATGCATTATATATTAAACAAATTTATGCTCTTAAGTAAAAAAAATATGTTTAATTTCATTTAACAATTTTTTTTCCTCTCACTGTATGTCATTTGTTTAATTATTTCATTTTTTCATTTAAATAAAGCGTTTACCTAATTTTCAAAAAGTGAAATAAATAACTAATATAAAAATTAAAAACTAGACATTTTTTTAGTTGGCCTTTTCTTTTGGGTTCCGCCTAACTGGAGATAGAAGATCGTCCTGTATTTGGTCCATAATAATTGCAAACAATATATCACTAAGTCCAAAATATAAAAAAAAAAACACAAATTTAAAGCGTACAACGGTAAGCGCAAGAGTGGATAAGTGGCATGATATTTGACACCAGCTGTATATATAGTACTATAGTACTATATAGTTCACAGCGAGCGGCCGATGGGAGCGCGCTTGTCATGGTTGGAGGTGCTAGGCGGGACATGCGCGCCGCCGAACGTATACTGGTCACCGATATGTTCTCTTTTGAAATGGATAAACGTGAAGATTTTTTTTGAAAATGTATTTATACTAATTTGCGCTATGAACACTACCGTTTTTATTGCTCTTAACTGATTTACTTGAACGATGGTTAACTTTTTAAAAAATTGTTTGTTATATATTTTTTTAAAATTTTAAATGCCATTTTATTAAGATTAATTTGATGACATTTTCGACTGGCCGACAACCAATTTTGAATGGCTACTTATAAAGTTATCTAAACTTAAAGCTGAGGATGGGAGGTGGAGTGCTGTAGAGCAATGCGCACAGGCAAAAAATAACTCTACGCACTTACTACATGAGCTTTTATCTCATATAACTTTAAAAGTAATTATCTAAAATTGGTTTTTGACCAGCCGAAACAAAAAAATCAAAAATCCAAAACACAAATGACAAAAAGAACAATAAAAATCGTGGTGCTTATAGCGAAAATAAGTACAAAAAAAATCTTAAAAATATTCACTAGTACAAAAGTTATTTTAATTGTCATATCTTTGTGAAACATCCTATATAATTGAATAACGGTCGCAGTGTAATTTTTAATCCGTTAAAATTATTTTTTTTCAATATAAACATGCTTACTAAAACGTGGCTGAGTTAAAATTATAATTCGCAAAGTGATATAAAAATTTAAAATTTAACTTTTAGTCTTTTAGTTCCTTGTTCCTTTGTAAGAAATCATTCCTTAATGGCCCAAACATGATAGATTTTCAACAAAGTTATCCAGGATCTTATAGCGATTGTCCATATACATTAAACGTAACAAAAATGTCTAATTCGCATTTTTAACTTTTAGTTACTGTCGTTAACGCAAATAATAGGTGTCAAATTTTAAATAGATTACAAAAAAAATTATCGAAATTACAACAAGAGTAAATATAAATTATATTAAAATGATTATAAGCATTATTGAAAATGTTAATTATTGAATAGTAACTCATTCTTTTTCGTTCGAAATCGATAAAACCCGTAAACAATAATATTTGTATACAAAACAAAATAAAAATAATCAAAACTCTAATAGAGTAATTGGTACTGGCTTTGGCATCGAGTTTAAGTCCTGGACACTGATAAAAATCAACTCGGTAATAATGTTTATCACACAACATCGCAGCGGCCATTTTCTCGTTTGTGAATCATTATAATGTTATACATTATTATTAGTTGTGTTAAGATGTGATTTATTATAAACATAACCAATTAATGGCAAAATGGCCGAATGTTTTTGTTTACATTGAAATCAACCATTTTGCTTTTATATTTTCTGTGGTTTGATTGTTTGGAATCTGATTTTCTTACCGATTAACATTTTTTTTTTTTGCAGAAATTTACACTGCAACCCGTCAAGCAGAAAATTTACAGCATAGACGTGATTATTATGCTAGACAGTTTAGAAACTATCGAAAAAAACAAGATTCGCTTTGAAATATACGATGTGAAATTATTGACAATGACGGAGATATGCAGCACACCGCAATGTGTAACCGACAAAACTCAAGCGATTCAGAAGTACAACAAGAAAGTCACCGCACTCAACTGCGTTAACGCTTTGATTCTGTTGAACATTGTGCATAAGCTCAGCAATGCGAACCTCAATAAGGAAAAACCCAGCAACGAGGTTAAAAAAATGATGGAAAAATTCAAAATCCATTCGGCTCGTATGCTGTCCATGTTGTACTACGGTCGTTTCCTCGCAGCTAGCTGGAACATTATGGTGTATATTCAACTGGTCACCGCAGTGGACTCGGGCACGTTTGAGTGGCCCAGAGATATTTTCTCATATGGCCAGATGTTGGAATATTTAAAGTTCTGTCAGACCGTTGAATTGATCCCATTGCAAAATGCTCACGATTCACTAGACGCTTACATAGAAACTGTTGATATCGATAAAATCGCAGAGCAATTGTACGACAACGCGAATTTGACAAAAACCGCCTACAAATTCTCCAGTCTCTTTACCATTATACATTTACAGCTATCGAATTTGTTTGCCCAACGAGATGCTATTTTCGACAAAATGGTCTTGGTTAAATTTATTGGTCCGGAGAAGCTTAATACTATGATTAACCACGTGGACAATCTTAGGGATCTTTCTCAAACCCATCAATGGCATTTTATCGTATATGAAAACATGCATTGTTATCTAAAGTTTCAGCACATTGTCTACACCAATGTTTTGTATCAAGTTTGGTTTCATTTAAAATCTTATCAGTTGTTGTTTACCGGAAAATCTATTATAAAAGTAATTAGGAAATATTTTAAAGAACCAATGAAATATTGGTCTCTTATAACCAAACCGTTGGAGGAAGCAACCGAAATACTAGATATCAACGACAGTTTATTCATCACAGTATTAAACATGTTTAAGAACGGCAAAAAAGTACATAGTGATGACTTAAGTGACTTAGTCCAAAAAGTGAGTGCAGTGTTGACTATCTGCTTAAACGTCATTCATGCGGATGATTCACACAATATATTAGAGATCTTTCAAAGTAGGAAAAAGAAAATTGAAAGTCTTCATGTTAAACAGATGAACGAAAATGTAAACAAGTTAACAACATTTATTAGTATTTTAAAAAATACTATTCATATTAACATGTTTTTTATGAAGTTTATTTCCAGTGGTATCATTTATGATTTCAATGGCTCATTCTTACCTTACTATATTGAATATGAATATTAATTACAAAACAAGTTTTAACAAATATCCAAAGGCGTATTTAGTTTTTTATTTTAAATCCTATATACAGTATACACACATGAAATAAATTTGTATGATACTACCTAATTAAAGGCCTTCTTTGAAATTACAATGATATGTAGTCATACCATATATGATGTACAAAAATATTTTTATAAGAAAATCTTCATAGTCATAATAGTTAATACTTTATTAACTATTAACTATATATTTCTTATTTCAAACTATAAAGCTTTCACCATCAGAGTTTTACAAAACAATTATTAATTAACAATTACAAAAAAACATTAACTGTGTATCTATACTGTCAAAATTTAAATTGTTCAGCCTAGAAATCGTTGTCTGCACTGAAGAGAGTTAAATCTTATATCGGATCAAGAATGTCTGATAACCGTTTTTATAGGTTATTAAATCTAAAATTACCATAGATATAAATTATGATGAAATTATTAATATATGTGCAAAGCAAAATTTGCTCCGAAAAATTTAATTAAGTAAGTATTTAAATGTAATATTTCACTATATGTTTTAAATTGTTAAAATTATATTTTAATACATTTATATTAAATTTTCATTTTCATTATATACATATTTATTATATTCATTGTCATTATATTTTAAGTTAAGTACAATATACATTTGTATTCAAAATATAACCACTTTTTTTTAATACCGCATTTGTTAGAACACATTTGTTCTTATGCCAGGGCGCTAAATGAATAAACAAATCAAAAAAAATATATCATGATTCACAGCTGCAGCCACTACTATCGACGACAACCACCACACTTCAATTAATATTATATAGTTATTATTGTAATATAATAATATATATATCATGTTTATTTAAGTTTTTGGCCAAAGGGAGTGGTGGTCCTGTTTGCAGTACAGATTATTACCTATTTGAATAATATTGCTTTATTATTGGATTCATCACATCTACAAGTTTGGTAATTATTTTGGAACATTTTAATTATTTGAACACTTTTGTTCTTATGCAAGGGCGCTAAATAAACAGTGCCCCAAGGCGCCAAAAATGTAAATACGTCTTTGAATAAATCATACATTCGGCAAGTCTTGTAAAATTCTAAATTCCACAGGTTTATTTTAGCTTCGATGCTAAAATTTATAAAATAACTGTAAAGTAAGAATAGGTTTAATGTTAAAGTAAACTTCAATGAACTCAAAAAATTGGTTTTAACATCACCAATATAATATTGTAGGTAAATAACCAAAGACGTTTATGCCTAAAGTAAATAAAAAACACAAAAATTCACAGTTACAGTTGTTATACAAAATCCATACATGATACACGTACAGAAAAAAAACGTTAATAGTGATAATTGATACACGTTAAATGAGTTACACGTATATTCTTATAAAAATAAATAAAATCATTAATTTCAAAAGATATTAAATATAAATTTCGCAATGGGTTCATATAGACAAACAATTTTTTTAACGGCATTCATTTTTTTAGTTTTTTTTACAGTGGCTACGGTTGGCACAAAGGTAAAAATGTGTTATACTTATTATTCTAATACTAATAATTATTGTAGTGCATTTAATATTTTTTGTTTTAAATCAAACAAAAATTATAAAATTAAAATACATGCTAGTTTTCCTTAAGATTTCTTTATTTTAAAGCAAAAAAGGTTTATCGATTTTTGTTGTCAAAATTCAATTTTTTATTTATAACGATTTAACGGCACACTAATGAATGTTTTATTTCAAAATTGTTTTTATAAATCGCAATCAAATAGTTATATAAAAGTATCACAATTTTGCTGTGATTAGGCAAATAAATGTAAATTATGATTTTGGTGTTAATTTTTTTTTTGAAAAATAGCATTTTTTATGATTTGGCGAAACGCAATAACTGTATTATTAAAAATATATATGTGTATAGGATTAACGCTAAATTATAACTACTATTGCTTAGCTAAAAAAAAAATTTATACAAAATAATAAATCTAAGTAGACTTGTACTCAGCCCAACCACTACAGTGAGATAATATACCAATTGTACCGCATAGAGAATAAAAAAACAAATGGCGAAAATAACCAAGTAGACTATACATTTTATTATTATACCTCAACTTATCATCAGTATTCTATCAAGTATCCAAAGTCTCTCCTAATCTCGATTGACAATTGACAGTGTTGGGGGCAGGGGTGGGGAGTTAAGCTATTTCTTACAAAGTATGGCGTTGTTTTTTTTTTTTTAATTATTCTTTTATTTGCAGTTCAATCTGGTGCGCGTCCGGGACGTTGTCTTCAGCAGAGAATTTGTCGAGCTACTAAACGATTTTGATACGTCCGAAGACGTTGGCGTGTCGGTTTACTTCGACGACGCAGATATCAAAACGTTGACGGAACCGTGCAAGACCAAGAAGTGCAGAAGGGTCAAGTCGGTGGCCATGAAAAAGTATCGGAAAAAAATGTACGCGCTGCAATGCGCCAACAGTTTTATCGTGTTGTCGTTTCTGCACCAAATCAAGAACGACGGAATGCTCGGCGAAGACGGGCTGCCCCGCGAAGACAAACAGGGACAATTCGAAATGTACAAGACTTACGGTGCTCGCATGCTGTCCGTGTTGTACTACAGCCGTACCGTCGCGGCTAAATGGATGGTTTTGGCTTACGCCAAGTTGATCGTCGGCGCCGACCCGGCCGGCTACGGGGAATTCGTCGAGGAAAACACCTTTTTTTCCAAGTACGCCCACGCGTACAGCAACAAATGCAAGGCCAGGCACATGATTCGCCCGCGGAATTGGGATCTACCGGACGCGGAGTACTACAGGGACGCGGACGACATGGCCATAGTGTTGTACGCGAACGACAAGCTGCGGACGACCTACAAGTACGAGAGTATGTTCACCGCAGAAACTCTGACACTGGCGGGTTTGTTCGACCGCCAAGACGTTTTGTTCGACGAAAAGCCCGAGATGAAAATCTGTTGGCAAGACGCCGAACGTCTCATGGACAAGCACAGGTATTACCAAATGAAAGCGTACAACACGCGCCGATGGCCGTTCGTGATGACCGGTTGCGTTGACTACCACTTGCAATTCCAACACATTGTCTACACGACCGTGTTGTACTACGCGTGGTTCCATTTGGAATCGTACGTGTTCAACAGGACCCGGTTCAAGCACAGCTGCAAGTCGATAAGGGAACTGACCAAGAAATGGTCGTTGATAATCGAACCGTTGAAAGAGGCGGTCGAATTTTTAGACGCCGACGACGGTGCACTGTTGCCGATACTGGCAAACGTGATCAGAACTTCCGGGAAGAAAATCAGAATCAGTAAGTTGCTGGAGCTCGAGATGAACGCGTCGGTCGTTCTGGCCAAATGTTTAAAGGAAACGTCAGTGTTAAACCTGGGAAGTATATTTAATCATTTTTGGCATAAGAAACAAAAAGACAGAGCGCAAGCCGAAGAAAGTAAAACATCCAAAAGTATAGTTAATTATTTTAAGACTAAACAACCAATAGGCAGTGCAGACGTAGAAGAAATTAAACATAACGCCGAAGCACTAAGACAATACATCAGTAATATTAAAGATGTAATCAAACCAATTGACAATATTTTTTTTATCAAGTTCATTTGGAGCAAAATTTTAAAAGAAAAGAGACTTTCTTTTTTGCCTAAATATAAGGAGTATGAAACGAGTACTGTGCTATATCAGCATTTTTAAGAAAACAAAGCAAACTACTTGTCAAACGGTTTGCTTATAGTGACATAGTATACATTTCAAACGTCAATGTTATAGTTTTTTAAGTAGATGCCTACAATTCATGGTTCAATAACATTCATAAATAAATAATAAACATTAATAATAGTAATAGTAAAATTAATAAAAAAATAAGATAAATAAAAATCATTACTGGTTCATTAGTAAACTATTCATTTATTAGACTAGATAGTAGATTAGTGCAGGCGCGTGGTGGAGTCAGATAGGGCGGCAATGTATCAACGCACGGTCGCCGGATTCGAATCTCGGCCACTGGCGGTTTGTTCCACCGGGCGGGCAACTGTCTGGGGGAAAAAACGGCCACCTGCACCTCTCTTAAAGCCCAAAAATGCCAAATCTCAACCGTCTAAGCCCCGATTGGCGGGAATAACGGACGTTAAACGTAAGAGAGAGACTAGATAGTAGATTGTATTTGAGCTGTTAACATTATTCATTACCTAAGAGGATTGCATGTGGTCTGATGTATTGACGTTTTAGACCAAACAGCCAAAACGAATTCCGACTACTTAAGATGAAACGGTTTTAATTTTGTAAAGACATAAAAGTTCTTTGGAAACTTTACTAGGTTATATAGGAAGCATATTATTGATTTTTTTGCTATTTTAATGCAAACAAATTTAGTTTTAATATTGAAAAAATTGCAAATTTAATTTAGTTCTTTCACAAGAAACTGAACTTTTTAAATAAAATCGGCTTCCTACTTAAAATAGTAAAGCAGCCAAATAACTCGAATCTAATCTGTGGACACTAGAGAGCTCAACTGACATTCAAATCGTTGGGATTGACTGTGATTCTACCACAGCGAAAAGAAATTGCTATTTGAGTTCTCCGTGGTCATTCATTGTATTATTATTAATTAACATTATTCAAACTTGCAAAGGTTCTATTTGCATTTTCTTCTTATTTACTATTATACAATCAGATTCAATCTATACGGTCACACCTGTATATCAACCTTTCAATATCCACAATCTTATTTTATCGTTGGAAATGCAAAGACAATAACATAACAAATGAACTGAATGACTGAATGAAGAAATAGTATATGTACGTCACCAATAACCTTTGGTTGTTGTGATGCTAAGTAAACGGTGCCCTACTTAACATGCATTTAGTCAGTCTTTTTAGACTATTGCAAAAAAAATATCAGTGTAACAACCTACATTATTTTCAATTGTTAAACCTTCATCGGCGAATAATAAATATACGATTCTTTTAAATCACAATGTTTATTATTTTAATATGTTTAGCATAATAAAAATTTTAGCATTTTAACGTGCAAAAAATCAAATGCAAACATTACACATACAATAACGTCATCGCTGTGTAAGTAAAAAATATTTAACTATTGTGTTTTTTAAATAAATAAATAACAACAGTTTTAAGAAAACAACTTTTAGTACATAAGAGTATACACTAAATACCAAATTTTGAGTGGAACAGTTTATAACAAATTACTTTAAAATATACAATTTTCAGTTTGTGGCTTGTTTATAAGTTTTTAACACACATTTAATATTGAAAAACATTAAATAAATATTATTACTATCAATTATTTCACCATGGGTGAATATAGACAAACATTATTGTTCACATCGGTCTATTTGTTAATGTTCACTAGGATTACCGCCAGATGGAACGCAGATGTAATATAATTTGTTTGTATTATTAATTTAAGAATCTTATTCATTTTTAATAATGTTTTTTTCAATTATTGATCACCATTTAACTGATTTTTTCCCATACTGACAATATTGTCAGAAAATCATTATGGGCTTACCATTAGATCAATACAATTAACATTTACAAGATTTCTAAAAATAGTTATTTTATTTTATTATTATTATTAACGAGAAAAATATTTCAGTTGATACTTAACTAGTGTTTTTTTTAAATTGATAATGTATCAACTCAGAAAGAGTATTATAAAATTACAATAAGTTTAATACTTCACCTTTACAAGCTTAACCCTTTACTTATAGCAAGGGTCAATTTTTAAATATAAAAAATAATCAAAATAATAGTACTTTTTAGATTGGCCATGAAAAGTTATAAATAAAATAGATGTATCTTAAAATATACAATGTAACTTTAAGGGTTAATACAAGGTGATCATTTTATCGTGAACCACTCAATATCTTATAAGGTAAAATAAATCTTATAGGGTATTGTTTTTATACAATATGATCACAATTTTTACACATTTTTTTGTTCCTTCTCCCCTACCTAACTAATTATTTTTATATCAACTTTTGAAACTTGCACAATGGTTACACATACCTACATTTCATTGGCTTTTAAAAGTGAAAATAATGTATTAAATATTTTGACTGGTCGATAACCACAAGGGTTGAAGTTTAAATAGGATTTGGACACTTGTGCACAAATCAATGCATAACTGTTTTCCTACTCTTTAGTTTGAGCTAAAATTTTGATGGTTTTGTAGCTTAGAGTCTGCTGAACTTATACCCAAAAGTTTACACCTGTCAAAATTGCTTGGGAAAAATATGTGTTTTATGGTACTTTTTTCTGATAGTTTTTTTTTAGTGTACCGTAAAAATAAAATTATGACTTTAGGGGTTAAATACGACCTATTTTTAAGTAAAGAAGTTAAAGTTTTGTTAATAGTGAACCGTGTTTTTTTTTTATTTGTAGTTTTTCAATTTGGAGCGTTTTCGCGAAAATGTTATTAGTAGAGTTTTCGTTGACTTACTGAACGATTTCAAAACGTTGGAAGACGACGAGATGAAGATTAACTTTGGCGAAAACGATATAGCCTTATTGTCGAGCAAAAATTGTTTATCAACTGCCAAAAAGTCTGAAGCGTTGGAGAAATATCATAAAAAATTCGAAGCACTTCACTGCGCCAACAGTTTGATCTTGGCATGGATTTTGGATAACATCAAAGCCCTCGGCGAAGGGGACAAAACCGAATTCGGAAATTACAAAACTTACGTTGCCCGTATGCTGTCTGTGCTGTACTACGGTCGTGTTATCCCGCCCGTATGGATCATTTTGGCTTACTCGAAATTAGTCATTGCCACCGACCCGGGCAGCTACTGGAAGTTCATCGAAGAAAACGCCTCCTGTCCCGACGGCGTTTACACATACCGCGACAATTGCAAGTATAAAAATATAATTTCCAAAATAACCGTGGAAACCTTGAACGTCGAACAGTTCGCCAAAGAGCTGTACGGCAACCAGAAACTAAATGAAGCCTACAAGTACGCGAGTCTGTTCACCGAGGAAAATATCACTTTGGCGCACTTGACCGGCCGCCAAGATGTTCTGTTCGAACAAAACCCCGTGATCGAGCAATTCACCTGGGAAGGTACGCGAATGAGAATGCATGAACTTAGCATCACTCAAATGAATTTGTACAACACTCATCGATGGCCCTTCTTTATGAACCAGTGCATGGTGTACCCCTCGGTTTTCCAACGAATTGTCTACGCGACTGTATTGTACTACTCGTGGTTTCATCTAGCATCGTACGAGTACGGTAGGACTCACTTGCCTCCTTGGTACGACAAGACAAGGCCTGGGCTAAAACAACGTCTAAATGAACTATGGTCTCGCGTCATCGCACCATTGCACGAGGCCATTGAAATATTAGATATCGACGATAATGTATTCTTGCCAACACTGCAGAAAGCGATTGAAACTTCGACTCAGACGAAAACTATTTCAAAAAACATGTTAAACCACCTCGTGGTTAACATGTCTGTCGTTCTATATACAAGTTTAACAGAAATATACACACCCACAATGAGTATGTTTACCCATTTTAGGGTAAAAAAAAAATCGGCAAGCGTGAACATCAAAGAAATGGAAGATAATATCGAGGCTATGGGAAAATACATCAGAACTATTAAGGATTTAATAAAACCAATGGACAATATGTTTTTTATCAAGTTCGTTTGGCTGGAATTGTTAAAAGATAAATACCTCGCTTTTTTACCTTACTATAGAGCTTATCCTATGAGTTCATCGTATACATAACATGTAAGCAACTTTTTGTCATGACTAGAAATTATTTATTTAGTAAAACTAGTAATTTAATAATAGTCATAAATGCCTATAAATTTATAGTGTTAACATATGTGTAATCTACTACCTATATATAAATTATGTAATTGGTACATTCGCAATTTTGGTGTTTTTTCTCGGTATCTTCTGAATTACTCTTATTAATTTTTTGAAAAACAACATATAAAAATGAAAAAACTACAAATATGAATATCTTTGTTTTTGAAAAGAACTCATACAGCTTAGATACTTACTTTTGAGTTACTTACGTGAACTTAAATTTGTCAGACTTCGAAAATACTAAAAATTTAACTTATTATTTTATAAATACTCTAAATACAACTTTTATGGGGATGTTATTATAGAATTTAGATGTAATGGATATAATGTATTACTTACTTGTGTATAATAATTATTATATAATAAAAATAATAATAAATAATACATTTTTGTTTATTTCGTTTAAAATAAATAATAAATACAATTTATTTAAAAAGAGTGTCTCGTTTAATGTATACCTATTTTATTGTTTTCACTTATATAGACACTACAGATGTCTACTACATACAACAAAATATGAAGAGTTAATAATGATGTAGATTGTGTATTAGAATAAATTTAAAGAAAATGGTTGTGTGATGATACACTATGGTGATTACGTGATGGAGGTGTTTTTCCATTGTTAAATGTGTTTCATCCTTTAAATATAATTTATCCTATTACTTGAGTATAATTATAATAAATAATATCCATGTACTTTTTATTAGTCTAGCGACGATATTGGAGTAGTAGTTTCTCGTTAGCTAATTTTATTCACTACTTAAGTTTTTATAGAAATACACATATGTTTACTCTATACCAGTCCTTTCTTTGAGGCACTGGATATATATATTGTAATAATAATAATAATAAAAAGAGGTAGGCAGGATAGGAACTGATGAATGTATTATCGATTTATGTGTAGGTGTGTTCTAAACTATCTTGAATCATTTTAATCTTATTATTACTCTTACATTATTGTAATAAGATATTTTCCACGTACCTTTTTTCTGGTCCAGCGACGATCTCGGAGTAGTAGTTCTTTGTAGATTAAGTTAATTTATTACTTCGATTCTTCTAGAGAAATCCTTTTAAGGTACTGAATATGTTGATAAATACTATGTATTTTAAAATGAAGTCAAACTCAGTATAATATGTGTATTATAAACAATCGCTTGTGCACTAATACTTCAGTTAATGGCTATCCCTCGTCACACAGACTTCAACTTTACGTCGCATACAATGACTGCGCAAACAAGCTTTCCTTGTAGATACTTTACTATAATTACTTACCTATCGCAAAATATCCAACAGTATCAAGTGTGCTCAACGTGGTCGTTGAGATCCCAGGGTTGCGTTTATAGCTTCCCAAGGAGTCGTATCTGGATAATTCTTATTGGACTATTGAAATGAGAAATAAGAGAGTTAATATTATTCAATTAAAAGAATAATTGAAAACTGTCTTGGTTACGTTAATGAAATATTTACATTTACATTGAGTTAAGCTTAAGAAAATACTAAAAGAATCAGTAACCAAAAGTACTTGCCCCAACTAGTGAGTTACAAATGAAGTGTGGCCGACGACTGTATACGACAAGAAGTAAGTGAGAAGTGTGTAAAGCGACTCGAGGACCAGTCTTTGTAGTGTAAGTGATTGTGTGTAGATATGTTATTAAGTGTATACAATCTTATGAGATACTTGATATTGATATATTACAATATATATATATATATATATATATATTATTTCTCCAGTAGATTTTGTTATACTATTAAACGAGGGGAACCTACTTGGAGCACGTCGAGATAGATGAACTCATGTTTCAAAATATAATCATTTAATAAAATAAAATCGATTAAAACATTAATTGCGCATATTTTCTTTAACTCAAATGTACCACTGCTGCCTGTGGCTGCGCTGATATTCCACTGTGCGTGTAAAAACACAGACGTTTGCGTTTATTTGTTTATTTGTTTGGCGATGTCGGGCCAGTTCAAGAGACACGGAGGATTCACTATTACTGCGACAGAGACGACCAGGAGATGCTTTGCCCAGTAACCTTTCAACGTAGAGATCGCACCGCACGTGTACGGGAATCTCAACAAGGCATTGTAATCGCCGGTATCGTAGTAGTTTTCCGGTCTGGTCATCGGAATAGCCGTGCTCGTCCGTTTTCCTTTGGTCGAGTTTTGAGGAGTTGTAGGGCAAGTCACAGTCCCTATAGTTGTCATATCGGCCATTTGGAGTACGCTTGCTATCCAGTACCTGTATATTGGTGACGCATTGACTTAAACCATCAGGAAAACTTCTTCCATAGCGAACTAACAACAAATTTCGATTCGGTCACATTCTACTCTATACTCGCTTTACTAATTTATTCTTAACTCTACTCTTCGAGTATACAATTGTAATATTTTGGACACGTTTCTTACACAAAACCGCTCACGGTATTTTCTTAGCACCGTGTTATTTGTTTTGAATTTTAAAAAACAAATTATCATTTGTTTTCCTATACTTTACAACTCACGTGAAACATTAGGACCAAACCTTTATTTGACATAAAACAAAATTTATTTTTCAATACCGTCCTTCAATCTTTCCCAAACTTTCATTAAGTGACTTATTTGTTTTATATAACAAACACATTCTTGAAACACAATTCTTAAAAACCTATAGAAATTACTTCTTCTCGAAATATTTAACATTTTCATTTTTGCCTCTCACATTACTTTGTTAAGCATTAGACCCTTACTATCCATAGAATTCCGTCGTTATGTTATAACGTTACGTTATTGTTTTCTTACAATTCATTGTATTATCGCCCTTTGCTTATCCACAGCAATAATAATTAAAATTATATAAATTATAATTATTAATTAATAATAATTTAATTTACTAAACTATCGTTTCGCCTTTGTAAATTAGTAAATTCGTGTATCGTATACAACAGACATGAGCACCGAGACATTCTAAAAACATGTTCAAATAAAGTTTCTCGGTATTACACATTGTCAAAGGAGCGAGATAATCCGATTTATGAAACTAAGCGATAAATTTAGACCAAATGGCAAACGGTGTAACATAGCTAATGATTGTTATCTTAGCAAAATTTTATTCTGCTCTTAATACGCATATTATTATAATATAATATGCTACCGTATGTTTTTTGAAAGTCAACCCTTAATATTGCCATTAAAAAACAAATTACTTGAAGATTAAATATAATATTTGATCATTAAATAGAATAAGTAGTTTATTTTAAATTTTCGAGTTAAAACCTTAATGTCATAGAAAATAATAATGTAACATGCAATTTGGATAACTCTGTATAGGTAACTTGGTATAAAGTATAACTAAGTATAAAACAAAAATGAATGTACGAATACCCATTGAATGTAATAGGACTAATAATATGTAATATTTATGTTGGTAAAATTAACTATGAAAATTTCTGAATATTACATACTATTGATCCTTACTCCTACATCTATTAATGAATTCAACGTTAGTTGATTTTGTTACATTAGTTTTAATTTATAGATACAATGCTTAGAAACTTTATTTGGCCGTGCTTTAAGAGCCGTTTGATTCCTATATCTGGTATACTATTGAAAGCCGGGTTTTTTCAACAAGCAACATTATTGGGTTGGGGAAATTATGATCACACAATTGTACGACGAAAATATAATTTGTCCTGTCTTTTGGCTGACAGGCTTTTGCAACATAACAATTATAGCTCCCTGAGTCCCAGGTAATTATAGAATAAAACGATATAGAGCTCTAACATAACACCCTGTACTCAGAAATAAAGTAATCGGGAAAACGAGCGACAGTGTGACCACTTTAAATGAAAATAAGTAATTTTTTAAAGGTTGTTAAACACCGATGAGTCATATGCTTTGTATTGCACGGCTGCAGTAGCGGAAGAAATTAAAAATATGTAACAGAGAAATGTAATTTCATTGTTCTGGTCACACTGCAGCCTTTTCGCTTACTTCATAATATTTTACGTATCGGCGACCGCCGCGCCAGCAGGTAATATAGAATAAGTATGTTACCGGTACGGCCACAGGTATGTCAGTTTCCTACTGCGGCCGGTCACAGTACTGACGATTGCCGACAACATGGGACCCGGTTCTAATGCTTTACTCGACGAATTCGTACTCGAACTCGAATTCGTGTTCTTAGACGTATCCTTGCCCGTATCAGGATTCTTACCCTGCTCAGTCGTACCCTCCTTCGCATCTGGTGCGGAGGTAGGAGCAATTGTCGTCGGTTTGGCGCCCTTAGCGGTGGTGGCATTTTTCCCGTCAATACCTCTGGCGGTCGTATTCGAACTACCAGTGGTGCCATTCAGAGTACCGTTACCGGTTGCGTTAACTACTGGTGGAGGCACTAATTCAACAAAGAAAGCAAAATTAGGTATAATTATATATTATGACAATATTTTTTCACATCAGTTATCACATGCACCCTCTCTGAACGTTTATCGGGTGGTGAACACTCACAAAATTGAACATCTTTTCATTTATCAATAATTATAAAGTTTATTTTAAGCGGTTTAGGGAATGCTGTGTAGGTTTACTACGATTGAAATATCGTTGTGTAGTATGTACTTGGGCCACGAATGCCACAAGTATCTTCAGGATAGAAAGAAAACAAAAAATGGGAGAGTAAAAATTATAGAAGGGAAAAGTAGTGTAACCAGAATAAAAATAGAGAATAATAAAAGTATAAAGTATAAAGAAGTCATAGAACTGAATTGAGTAGCTTGGTGTGGTGTGTCTCGAATGACCCTCGGAAGTTAATCTGCGCCCGTCGATGCTTAATCTCAGGTTGGCCTACACAAACAAAAGCCAACTGAAAAAACCTACCAACCTTTGAATGAAGACATAACTAACAAGGCTTTAAAATAAAATGGGAGATAAGGAAAACATAAGACCAAGAGGCGCAGGGTATAGCGAATTTCACTTATCACTAATAAGTGAATTATTAACAATAAGATAGAGTCAGAGGTATCTTCTGATAATTTTGGTATAATTTATTTATACTATGATATTTGCTATATATATTGAATGTAACGTTAATATTATTAAATAGTAACTTTTTCAACTGAGTAAAGACAATAATTTATACTATTTTATAATCTCCCACAATAACTTACTATTTTAAAAATATTCAATGAAATTTGATATAAATAAATTCAGTCGAATAATAACAAAAATAATGCTTTTAATATTTTCGATATCAGGAAAGTTAAGTCAAGAAAAACGGTACACTTACAAAAACGGTATTTTAAGAAAATGAGATTATTGGAAAATATATTTTTAGTCAATGATATTGTAAATTATCATTTAAACTGACTTATTAACAAACCATCAAAATTATACTTAAATTCAAACCCATCGAAAACCAACATACTAATTTATTATGTCTACTAAGTAATGAGTTTTGAAAAAAAAATCGATTTTGAGACGTGCTCCTATTGTAATAAATATTTTGAATTACATTATAACGTATTAATAGTTATGTTGTATATTATAGTATAGTAGGTATATTATATATAATTTAAAATATGGATAATTAATATCACTTTCTTTTGATTACAATTACTAGTTATGTCTACGAATAAGTGACTCGGGCACAATCAGGAAAATATATTTTTACAAATATAAGTTTAAATAATATTAAACTGACAGACTATAGAATTAACAAATGTATGCAAAACAGTTGACTGACACGAAAGAAGAAGATAGATTTCTATAAAATATTGATCGTTGCCATTAATGCATCAGCGCAACGTTGTTCGGATGAAGGACTTGGAGCAACAATCAGATAAAACCACATTTAAAATATTCTTAGGATAATCAAAATAAAAATATTTATCCCATTTGCATAGTCTGAATTTTACAGTTTGTTGCATCAACTTTTAAATAACATTTCCATGAATGAAATTTTTATCATAATGTAATTGTCTGGTTGTTGTAGGAAGCCGTTCAATTAGTTTGGGGACCAAATTTCTGTATAGTATTCAACACCCGTTATAAGATTTTACGGTTTTGACAGCATTATAATATAATGTGAAGAATGAATATCAAAGCTTACGTGTAGGCATCGGAGGAGTCCGCTGAGAAAGATCTGAAAAAAACACCGGACCACCCTCGTCTCCTTTGCACGTCACTAAATCAGTTTCGTTTGCACACAAAAAGAAATACAATCTGTAATCACAGAATTGCAAAAATTTCGATTGCGAGACATTATGTGGGTGGCTGTGGGTGACTAGAGAATATAGACGGACTGGAGTTAAGAACAAACTGAAAATGAGTACACACGCGCGGTCGGTGGGACAGCTCCTCAACGAAGCTATGTCCGCCTTCATCAACTTGGGATTTCCCTTTTCCTCGGAAGACTTGTTGTGAGGATGACACCAACCGAACATTTCGGCCTTTGTGTTAGCCGTGTTGTTTGGGTTTTTGAAAATTCTCGAGTTGCCGTCGACTTCCGGAAACGAGAAATTGCTCTTCACCGGTAGCGGATCTTCGAAATACAGAAGCGCCAAATTATGTTTGACATTCGCCCGGGTTCTCCCGAAGGGCGTGGTGTACTCGTTTAGCCACGAGTAGTTCTGCAACACCCGCTGACCATAGTAGATAGGATTTGGCATTTCGGTGGACTCGTCGTCCAGCTGCAGTTTTACGATGATCACGCCATCGTTAGAATAAGGGTTAAAATTCTCCAAGAACACCTGAAGACGACAAAACGCATTTACCATATTTTGTATAGAGTTATTGTCCTGTGATAGCCGAGCACATGCTCCAGACACATAATACGAAAAGGAGTACCTACAGGAAAAAAATAATATTAAGAAAGTTTAAACTACTACAGTCCAAACCAAGTACAGTCCAAGCTAGCAAAGTGATAAATCACTGAAGTATTCACAGATTCACATCTCTAAATCACAGGTCTGAAAGAACTGAATAATATACCTAAGCTAATTCTATGTGAGGTTTTATAAATAGGTACTATCTCTAATCTCGTGGTTCGTTCACAAACTAACATAATAACAAATTAGTATAATAGAGTCGGACCACCATTAGAGACAATCTGGTTGAGAAGTATAGTTACCACAATTTGAATACCACTTTGGAAATTTCTTACTGTGCTGGTTTGGATTATGCTTGGTTTAGAACTAGCTGGTTTAGACTGTGCTACATTTGTTTTTGGGTTAAAAAAAAAGTTTGAATAGGTATAGACTTTTAAAAAAATTGTTATAGCCCTACAAACTAGTTATACCTTCAGTTACATTTTCTTACCGTAACCTTACAGATCGATAGAGCCTCTACACTCGAGTAAATGGGTTCACAGAGATAAATATTATCGTGACTTTAGATACAAGAAAAAAAACCACATTTTGACAAACTAATACCTTCTCGCTATTGCTATGGTAGCAAAATCTGCTATTACATTTTTGGGATTTTGAGCACTATTAGGAATTATTCCTTACAATCTCCGACCTCTCCGGTACCGGGATGGTCCGTCTCTAATGTACTGGAATTTTCACGTTCTATTCATAAACTATAACAAACATTTCTCGATGTCCGATTCAGTGCGAATAGAGAATTTTAAAATCTTATCAAATTCTATCGATTCTAGTTTTTAATTACGAAAAAAAAAAATCATTATGTATAAACCGTTTACTTTAATTTCAAATGGGTTTAACACGCATTGAGCCGAAGTAATAATGATGTGAAGACTCAAGATCGTTCCGGCGCATATGACCGTCTCTGAACCGTCCTTGCCGTCGTCTAGCGTCGAATGTATACCGACTATGTAAGGATATTTTTTCCCACGGTCTTCAGCGGAAACTTCTTTGGTGTTGTCACCCACCATACGTTTACTTCTGTTAGTCTTCAACGGGTCCAACAACGGGTCCAACAACGGTCGCAACGGGTCTAACGGATAAAACTGTACGGCTACGCTCGCGGTGCCAACGACCAACAGTAAACGCCACAAAGGCATTGTAAAAAAATGTAAAAAATAAAAAACAATAATAAAATAATAGTAAAAACGAGGTTAAGAGACAAAAAATAATTAAAACGACTGTAAACAGTGTCGACCGCCAATTACGGTTGTTGTAGAAATAGCAACTTACATTACACACATGTGTTTTTTCGATTTTGAGTAGTTTGTTTGCTGTATATTCGATGCCGCCTGAGAAGGTGTTGTTTTTACAATGATGTTTTTAATTTTACTTTTTTTTTTTTTGTCAGCACTCATGATATAATCTTTTTCAACCGCCAAACTGTTTTATACATCAGAAATCATACATGGAAGCGGACTTGGCGGGCCAAACATTTTAAAAAGTTCACCCTTACCCATTCAAAATCGCCAAAAATATTATAACCTAGTTTTAAGTTATACGTTTTATAAAAAAAAACACAAAATAAAATAAAATTACCAATTAATGTTGTTTTTATCAAACATGCGCAAAGCACCTGTAAATAAATTCGAAATAGGCTGTGCCGTCTACACAGCTGCGAGTGTTTAAGCGTAAAAACGCTTGACGGCAATCCTAAGCAGACATTTTTCGCTAAAAACATTATAAGGTTACCATAAAACATAAAAAATTTGCTGTATCTCAAAAGTATTATATTATAATTGTACGTAGAATGCGACAGATTATGTTTCTTTTGCACGCTGTACACTCTAGAGAGAACTTTGGTCTCTTTTTTATAACGTTTTATTTTATTGTTTGCATACAATTTATACTCTAGGTTTTTCAGAATGATCGAAAATAATTTAAATAACACGCCTTGATGTAATACCACGTTACGAACAAAGCTTTAAATGTTGTATTTTCCCAGTTAAAGGTTTTTTAAATGATTATCCCAGAATCGCACGTACCTATTCTAGTAGAATTTTACCAATTTAAAAACAACCATTTTAATTTCCCGTTGGGTTTTTAACATATAATATGTTAAATTACATTAGCCGCCGCATGGACAGAAAGAAAATGTACTTTAACTACTAGATTCTAACATAAACGAATAAAATCAGAATATTATATAAGTATCATCGATGTTGTTACGACAAAAGTACAAAATACATTTCTAGCGTGTAGATATTTGTTTCCATTTCCATTGTGATTATATACTATACTAAAACTATACCTTCGAAACGGTAGTATGTGGAATTGAATATGATGTATAAAGGTGTGATGTGCTGCTTACGTTTGCAGTACTACCAGTGGTAAATAACAGTTCAACTGTAGTAGGTAAATAACTCTTGTAACATGCACACATAAAATTATAAACAAAAAGTTATACCTTAAAATAATCGTTTAGATAATATCGTATTTTCGGGAATTCCGCTATGGAATCAAGAAAACAGTTTTTCATTGTAATGTTATTTCTAGTAATAGCCGTTGAATCTGCTCCGAAAAATAAGGTAATTCAAAATAAGATTTTACATTTTTATGTTTCTATTCCATTTTGTTGTGCCTGGGGTTTAGACTCACCGAATACCTTATGACTACACCGTAAATTGACGACCCTACACATCCCGCCAATGTCACCAAGGGGTCAACATTTTTAAAAACAGATAGACCATAATTCGGGATTCTCGTGAAAAAGAGTCATAGAATAAATCATTTTAGTTTTAAGACTAGGAAAATTAGACTCATGGTCGATCTAAGCAGGCCTATTACATGTACAATTCATAGTCAAACATTTTTTAATTAAGGATAACCCAACAAAAAGGGAAAATTAATTTTGACTGTAGTACATTTTTAGATTGCTATGTGAAAATGAATTAATTACAACTCATATTTAATACAAATGTTGAGTACAAGAATCATTAGAATCACTGCAAAAACTAGTTATGAAGTTTTTTGCGGCTAGTGTAAATTTCAAGTTTGTGACTTGTGTCGTTTTTGAAATGACCGATTCAATTGACGTGCTGTATTTACAAACAAGCATCATAGCGTTAATTTTAAAGTGATTTTATCCGAGACGACTAGTACAGTAGTTAGCTACTCGATCAACGAAAATATGTTCAAAGGGATTTCGGTTTTTGGCGTTTCCAATTTAACTCGTTCATCGATCACCGGTGGCCAACGTAGGTAGAATACGGCGGAACGTACTACGGGTATACAAACATAAAAGTTCACCCATTTTAAACGCATTAATTATTTCGAGGTCGGTAAATCGGAGCCGAAGCTACACGATGTGCAACGATGGACGGTAGTTATATGGAAACAATACAAAAATACAATCGCGAGCAACATCATATAATATTATGTGGTACCGATTGTGTGACGAAAACAATTATAAATACAAAAAAAGAAACCAAAAATGTAATCCGAAAGCTGCAACTATTTATAGTGCTGATTGCATCAAACCGTATGTGATTGTGTTGATCTATAGCGAACAGCAGTCTGTGGACGGCTTACAGCAATCGTACATGAGCTTTTTCCTTGTCTCCATATGCACCAGACTCACTTCGGCCCCGACCAACAGCCGTCGGACCACTTGCAACCTGCGGCTTACCCTGTTCCACAGAATGTATTTATAGGCCAGTTCTTTATGCGTGCATTGTTCCAGTGCGGTACGGGCCGCCACACCTAGTTTGGCGTGATGCAAGTTGTCTCCCGACTTCAGCACTTGTTCCGACGCCATTTTGACATAACTTTGTGTGCAGAACGTTGCTGTTATTCATGTGAAATATAATAATTGCTTACTCGTGAGAGATATGTACTTTTCTTTCTCGCACAGCACGACCGCCAGCCTTTCCTCCCGAAGCGTTTCCACTTTAAGAGCGGCCAGCGCGCTGTTAAAGTCCAGGGTGAGCTGCTTCACGCGGTTTTGAAGCTCCACCGTCTTACAAGAAGGCGTCGGACACGGTGTGCAGCACGTGGTCGGACATCTGCTGGAACAACCTGAGGTACATTCGGTCACGTCGCAAGCGGCTCGCGGTGCTTGGTACACCACTTGGTCGGAGGCGCTGGCGACGCTGGCATCAGTAACGGTATCGGTATCGGCAACGGACACCTCGACAGTGCTCGAAGGGAAGGTCACCAATAATATCCAAAAGCAGAGCAACGAAAATCCTCGGGTACCACCTACACCCGTCGTCACTCTCGCTACGACATTTGTGCCGGCGAAAAGCATTGTCTTAATAAAGAAGTAACTCTGCCGAGTGCTGGACATGATGATTTGGCGAGGAAAATATTTCATCGAACTTAACCGTGATATTTGGGTCGGGTCAATTAGCTTATGTTTTTTTTGTTACTAAGTTACATTCGTTGGTACCAACTAGAAACCATAGCGACAGTCTATATTAAACAGAGATGTTAAATTAATTTTTAAAGTAAAAAAAAATAGGTTTTTAATGTTTAAAAAAACTTGGAAACTATTAAAACGTCCGCATAATCGGACCGTTAAAAAATGTGTACGGTCATTACGATTTTAAATAAGAGATGAGGGGTTAGAGATAAATGACAATACATAATAATAAATAAGGAATTGGTAATAGTGACGGAGTGTCCCACAAGTGACAGTACGCACTAACGCAATTCCGCAATCACCTCTTCATCCCTTGTCTTTTATACACAATGTATACATTTTTTAATATTTTGTTGTGCTCTTTAGTGGTTAAGTAATTTTTAATGTTACAGAAATATATTTCCTATGTTAGGTTTTTTGATCAGCCTACAGTAAATGTTATTGACATTTTCATGTCTTAGCTCTGGCACATAACCGAAAAAAGCGTTCGTTACAAAAGCGTTACAGGGGGTAGGAGATAGGGGTAGGAAATGAGGTAGGAGATAGGAGGTGGAAGATGGGGATTGGGAGATAAAAGGTGGGAGATAGGAGGTAGGAGATGAGGGGTGGGAGATAGGTGTGGGAGAAATGTTGTATTTCCTACGAATTGTTTAAGGCCAGATATTATGAAATCACTAAAATGTAAGCCAGAAACTTGATATGTTTACTAGCCACCTTAGATACTAGTTTGTTAATATACTATTTCATTATCTATAATTCTACCATCTATCGAATAGTAAATTAGCTTGGAATAGGTCAAAAATATATTTTTTTTTTACCTACTTTTATAATATAAATAACAATTAAAGGGTGCAAAAGAGCAAAATATTTACAAAACATTTATTTAAACCATCTTTATAATATATATGTTAATAGTAATAACATTTAATTTAAGAAAAAAATTAAATTGTTAATTTAATAATAATCAACTTATGTGGCGCACGCAGTCTAGGCTAGTTTTTTGATATCATAAAAAAAAATTCAACATTTAACATTTTGTTCATTTCTTTAGTTTTTACAATACTTAGTATTTTCAGAATTATACATTATATCTTTTTAGCTATAAGCGACTAAATCAAAAACAATTAATATTAGTTGACGCATTAATGCTTGTGCAATTACAAATTGTTTAGTTAATATAAAAAATATATACATATTATGTAAAATACAAATTACGAATAAACTAATTGGTTTCTGATGTTAAGAACTTACGAATTACTTGAAAGTCGATTAAGGAACAAGTGCTGAAGTTGGGAGACAACTTGCTACACGCCCAAAAATAGGTGGCGGCCCATACTGCACGAGAACAATATACGCAGAAAGAACTGGCCAATAAATACATTCTGTGGAACAGGGTAAGCTGCAGGTTGCAAGTGGTCCGACGGCTGTCGATCGGGGCCGAAGTGAGTCTAGTATATGCACCAGACTCACTACAGCTTTTTAATAGTTCCCAAGTTTTTTTATACATTCTAAAACCTATTATTTTACTTTAAAAAATAATTAAATATCTGTTCATCAGACTGTTCATCGCTATGGTTTCTAGTTGGTACCAACGAATGTAACTTAGTAACAAAAAAAACATAAGCTAATTGACCCGACCCAAATATTACGGTTAAGTTCGATGAAATATTTTCCTCGCCAAATCATCATCTCCAGCACTCGACAGAGTTATTTCTTCATTAAGTCAACGATTTTCGCCGGCACAAATGTCGTAGCAACTAGCAAGAGAGACGATGGTTGTCGGTGGTAAACCAAGCACAACACAATCGTATACGGTTTGATGCAATCAGCACTATAAATAGTTGCAGCTTTCGGATTACATTTTAGGTTTCATTTTTTGTATTTATAATTGTTTTCGTCACACAATCGGTACCACATACTATTATATGATGTTGCTCGCGATTGTATTTTTTTATTGTTTCTATATAATTACCGTCTATCGTTGCACATCGTGTAGCTTCGGCTCCGATTTACCGGCCTCGAAATAAATTATGCGTTTAAAATGGGTGAACTTTTATGTTTGTATACCAGTAGATAAGTTCCACCGTATTCTACCTACTTTGGCCACCGGTGATCGATAAACAAGTTAAATTGGAAACGCCAAAAACCGAAATCCCTTTGAACATATTTTCGTTGATCGAGTAGCTAACTACTGTACTAGTCCTCTCGGATAAAATCACTTTAAAATTAACGCTTTGATGCTTATTTGTAAATACAGCACGTCAATTGAATCGGTCATTTCAAAAACGACACAAGTCACAAATTTAAAATTTACACTAGCCACAAAAAACTTCATAAATTAATTGCTAGTTTTTGCAGTGATTCTAATTTCTTGTACTCAACATTTGTATTTAATTTGAGTCTATCAAATTTAGTTTTCACACAGAATAAGTAACTAAGTATATAACTATCAAATTTGACAAAAAGTAATTTGTTCACTTACACTTAATGAATTATTGTAAAGGTATTTTTATCCGTTTATATCAGATGAATGAATCCCAATACCCTCATAATGATTTATTATTTAACAATTTTTTTTAGCGGCTTTAAAATGATTTCAACATAATACATACTTTCAATGAAACCGTTTGCGTTATATCTTGTAAGATAACGTTCAACATAATCAAAGACTGTTCGTAAATTATAATATACTTGTGCAAATTCGTATTTAAATAAAGTGGTATAAAAAAAATTGTTTTCCTATACATTCAGTTTTAAATTAAATCAAATCAATATTGCCTCGGTTAAAACAGGTTTAATATCAATTTAAATGAACCAAAAAAAACTTAAGTCAAAAAAAAAAAAAATTAAATTAAAAGCTAAAAGTGGTACTTGAGTATCAAAACTTAATAGTATCATTCTGCATAGATCTACATAAAACTGCTGTATTAATTTAATAATATTTTTTTAAGATTTTAAGTGGTTTTGTTAAAATATACGAAATCTGCGAAAACACAGTTTTTCGGAAATTAAAGAAAAACTGTAGTGCCGAATTTTTTCCTCGTTTAATACGTTATGGATACCAATGAGTTCTAACTACTGACAATTTTTCAACTTGAAGATCTTAAAACTACGGCTAAAACACCCCAAAAAAGCTTGCACCCCGATAACTTTTATAATACTGCATCAATTCCTTTGATCTGACTCTTTCTCTCGAAATTATAGCCATTAAAAGGTCTAACTTAAAAACTCGTATGGTTTTTTTTTTTGTTTTTTCTACAAACCCCAAAACATAAAATTAGTGCTACATTTATTTTTATTTAAACAAATCTGTCACGAAAAAAATAAATGTAGCCATTTTTAAGAGCATTAATTTTAAGTTTTACTGTTTTTAGTATACCAAGCCCCCCTGATCTTACTATATTTTTATTCCTATCATTTACAAATTTACATCGAAGCATTTATCTGAAAATTATTTTATCATATTAAGTTAAAATATTTCCCATAGATCTGCGATTATCCGATCCTAATAAGAAAATCGGTAAAATTTAAGTCTTGGAAATTATTATTAATTCAGTATTTGTTTTAAACAATTATATTATTTACATTACATTTCGATTGATCTTGTACGAACTTCCTTTGCAGCCGTTCGTCTTGGACCGTATATGGATGGGGTTTGAGGAAAACAATATTATGCTATTTAACAATTATTTCAAAACGTTCGAAGAAGATGAAATTCAATTTGACTATGACGATGTGAAGTCGCTGAAAGAGCCTTTCGATTTTCACCTAGATAAAATGGACGAAATAAAAACAAAAGCACTCAAAAAATACGACAACAAATGTGCAGCACTACATTGCGTTAACAACTTGATGCTGTTGCACATTGTGCACAACATCAAGAGCTCGATGCTTAGTGACCGAATACCGAAATTAGAAAACAAAAAAGATTTTGAAACCTATAAAACCCACGTAGCTCGCATGCTATCCGTGCTATACTATTTGCGTTTGGATCCGCCGCATTGGAACGTGACGGTGTACACTCAACTGATAGTGGCGATAAATCCAGAAACCTATGAAGAGTATATTAAGGAAGACCTATTCTCCGATGAAGATATTCACGCGTCTTTCAAACGGTGTCTAGATATAAAACTAATTCGCAAACAAGAGCAAGACGTTTCGGTGGATGACTATATCAAAAGTATCAATATCGATGAAATCATCGCACAGTTTTATTACAACGACGATCTGCAATATACCTACAAGTATGCCGATTTGTTTACTCCGGAACATATAACACTAGCACACATTTTCAATCAGATGTCACTTCTGTACACTCAAGTCAGTTGGATAAACCCACAAAGGGGATCGAGCCTCGACTTGGATGATCTCGGTAACCTTTATAACACTCACCAATGGCCTTTCTTTATGGTTAAACACATGCATTACCATTTTTGGGTCGTGCAAATCACCCACACCAGTGTCATGTATCATTTGTGGGTTCATTTAAAACACTGCAAATTTATAATCAAACGACATCTCAAATATGGTATTTTACCAAAAGTAACATCATCGGTAGATAGTCCTGAAAGTAGCTCATCTCAAAATTATTGGCCATTGATTGCCGATCCGTTAAAGAAAGCTGTGGAATTTTTCAATATCGATGACAATTTAACATTAGAGATAATGAACACGATTTCTAGGGATGGTACAGTTATTACTCGTAGTGATTTGAATTTTTTTGAACAATCAGTGAGACGTGTTCTTTTGGAAAGTTTCGAAGCACTAGGCGTAAGAAAGGCCAAAAGTATTCTGACTGTTTCTAACCCGGGAAGAAAAAATACAGAGCGGTCAATTGAAAAAAACATCGAAGCGTTTAAAAAATACACTAGTGATATTGAAAAAGCTCTATATCCAATCGACAATTTGTTTTTTATTAAATTTATTTCCAGAAGAATTTTAGAAAACAATGAAATGAGCATTTCACCTTACTATAAAACATACAAAAGTAGTGTAAAAAAATTTTTTGGTATTTCATTATCACGTTCTTATTTATAATTAAATTGCTTATATTTGTAATATTTTACAATATTCTTATATATTATTAAATTTTAATAAAAATTAAGATCTATTATAACATATACATAAACTAATGTTTAAATGGCATTTGCAATGTCAAAACAAAGAAGTATCCATTTTTTTTCTTCAAAATTTGTTCTCCCCTTTTTACATATTCTCTATTTTGTAGCTTAATGCATTTAAAGATGTTTTCCTAAGAACATATTCTATGTTTTATAAAATGAGATGAAATACCTAATAAATAAATAATAATAAATATTTTAATGATATTCTGTTTTTTATTTTATTTTTCGTAAATTTAAGTGCTCTATCAACTTTTGAAACCTAAATTGTTAAGTATAATAACTTTAAAAATACTTATTCAATCCTAGTTATTGACCAGCTAAAACATTATGTAAATTATGTTTAATTTAAAAGGTTAGCGACATATATACGTTACCAATAAAACTTTTGTTGAGTTGATTGAGGTGTAATTTACCATTAACGTACAAATTTTAATATTTTCTAATATTGTAGTTTAGTATTAACTAAAACGAGTCTAAAAAGAAAAACTATAAAATTATAATTATTTTTAGAGAAAAATGGTGTTCTACGTTAAATTACAGTTTATGATTAAAAAAGGGATTTGTAAAAGGGTTATTTAGGCAAATAAGTAGTTTGTGTTTGTTAAATATGTCTATTCACTTAATTTATTGCTTGATTTATCAGGCAAGTTGGAACAGGCAGTGCAAATTGCTAATGGAACTTACCCAACGAAAAATGAAATATCTATATTTACTTTTCGCCGAAAAAATCACATTGTGGAAAATATTGGACCCCTTATTATTAAAATTTATCCAAATATTTAAGATATTTTGTGAATAAGCGTATAATTTCAAAATAAGGACCTAGCGAAAACAATAGAATTTTTTGTAGAATATTAAATTTACTTTCATTTTATACAGAATGAATTTCGCCTAGCCGAATTTGACCCCTCCACCTTTGTCATCCCTCCCCCATCCTGGCGTCATGTTATGACCGTGAATCAATGTACGTTTAATTTTTCCGTTATTTCTAGGTGTATTGATCAATAAACACTACATTTCAACGGCAATAACATGGTTTTTCAGACTTTTTGACTTCCCCCCGCACCTCCATTAGTAATGCTTCTAGCGAAAAAATAAACAGATTCTTTTTGTAGGAAATTAAATTAATTTTCATTTTGTATAACAATTTATTTTATTAAAACGCTTAGTTTTCGAAGTATTTGAAACCTTCTCCCCTTTCCTGTCTAAAGCTCGCAGCCCCCGACCGGGACTTTTAGTATGTCATACTTAGGGGTCACCCTATAAATTAATACAATAACCCAGGCTACACGATTTTTTGCATTTATTATTCCTTCCTTGACTGGACTATATAGCTTCCTTGACTGAATGGCTCGGTTGATATCTTACGCTTTTTTTTTGCGTTTCGCGACCTTGAAACGTGTTCTGCCATGTCATACCATGTCGTCATGTGTCTTGCGGCTTACAGCTTACTTTGTATGTTGTGTGTTTTTGGATATTCTATACATATTGATCTTGCTTTCCTGCATCTGCAAATTTCATTTATTTCGATAATGGCCGCTTTTGTTTTTTGGCATTGATTAGTTGGTTTAATTTGTTTCTTTTTTATTTCAGTTGAATAATTGATTTTATGTAAATTATCCGTTGATTTCCAATGCTAATTGATTTCCATTTTATTTTCAATTTTACAACCATCTTCTCTATTCAACATTTTTGGGCATTTTTCATTTTTTATTGCTTCTTTATTGCACCATTCCTAAGTTAGCTTATTTGTTGAGTATTTTTTACCTTGTCAAACTAATTGATAATATATCCGCTGTTATATGCATTTTGGGGTACTGCAGATTTGTCTATTCTTATGTAGTCGATACCCGTGTTTTCTATCGGGTGTCTCTATTGCTCTCCCAATGTATATATCCAATGTATGACTCTCACATGTACATGGTAGTTCAGATACTATGATAAGATAATCTGCCAAGAAAGAAAATGCATACTTACCGCAAGTACAATTATAATATAGATGTAGACACTAGAAAACGTTAACAAAGCATTGAGAAAAGCGAAAAAAACCAAAAACTCAAAAAAAGTCAGCATAAAAATTAATTTGACAATAAAGAAATATTATTATTGCCATATAACAAACAAATTTGAAATTAAAACGATATTTTAACCAAATATAATAATTTAATATATTATTGTGAAGCCCAGAAGATAAAATACCAGAAATAAAAACACTAGGTAGGCGTATATTAAAAGTTTGATAATAATACAATTTTCTATTTTTTCCAGATCTCTAACAACATTTAAAACTTAAATGATAACGTATATACATTCTAATCAACATTTGTAAATAATTTTGACGGATCTCTAACCTGTTTGGGATAATTATATTAAAGTTACTATGTTTTATAATTTAGGACAGGGACAGTTCTTTAATATGAGCTATTATTTATAGTGACTAAATATATGAAACTCAATTTTTAAAAAAGCTGAACCGTAAAATTGGAAACTGTGATTTTCTTGTCGCTTATTAGTATTTATTTTATAATACATAAAGTGTGTGAAGTTATTAAAGTAGGTATATCTGGTTTGCTATACAAGTATAAAAATAAACTGCTTTGCTACAAACACAAATAAATTTCCGATGGTAATCGTAAAATAAATACATTAAAATAAATTCTAATTAAATATCAACGCATAGACACAATTATCAAACATTTTGAATTATTTTTTTTTGTTTTTGCATGCTTTAACTGATTAAGCTAACAAAGTTGTTTTAAAAACTTAAAAATCATGTTTTTAATTCAAACCAGTTAATATTTGATGCCGTTAATAGTTTACAGAACGTTAACAATATTTATAATTTAGTTGCTATCTGATTATTTTTTAGTATTTAATAATAATTTGTTTAAAATTTAAAGATTATTTTTCTATATTTGTACATTCATTTTGCCAAATATTATTCTTTATTGGTCTAACAATTACATGATATTGTTAATTGACTATATAATTAAAATATTGCACAGAATAAATAACTTTTCACTTATATTTTTAATATGTATTATAATAATATGTATTATATTATATGTATTATTTAATACTACTAAATATTTTTTAAATGTATTTTAATAAATATCACATAAAGAGTTTGGTAATTTTAATAATAAAATATTTTTATGAGTAATGAATATTTTATAGATTTTTATTATAATATAAAGATTGTAAAATTACACATTACAATTGTAAATTCACCGGCATTTTTTTAAGGTATTGAAATAAACAAAAAATAAAAACAAACTATCTTTAGAATACATTCATAGTAGAAACGTATTCCGAATAAAAAAATGATCGTATCATTTAAGATTAAATATCTATAATGTATACTTTATACTATCATATAACCTAAAACTGTTTTCTGCAAAAACATTTTCGGAAATAAATTTCAAAAAAAAGAAATTATCGATTGGTTGTATTGCGATTGTAATATCGCTAACATATTTGTTTAACGCTTCAGAGTTTTCTTCAATTAATTGGATGAATTTTTCCTTTTTCAGATTTTTTAATCTTTTTAGGGTAATATCAATTGTATCGGCATTGTCTACGTGTATTGTCTTTAAACAAAATAGTAGGACTCGTCTCAATTTTAGCTCAAAGTAATTCAATTGTTGGCCAACTATCCCAAGCTCTAACAAATGCATCATTGGTAAAATTAAATTATTTTCGTCAATAACCAATAAGTCCACTGCTTTCTCCAACGGATCAGCAATAAGAGACGAGTATGTGTCCAAATAATCGCATCCGGTCGAAGTGGAAACTTTGCCTGCGAGACAATCAAGGATTGTAAACTGCATTAATTTGATATGCAACCACGCATGATACAGAACAGTAGTGTATGCAATTTGTAGGACCACTGAATAGAAATGCATGTATTTCGTCACGTTAAACGGCCATTGATGAGTGTAATACAAACGACTGAGTTCGGCTGCATATGTATTCAACGACGTTTGCATGCCGGCCAAGCTGAAGTTCACCAGATTGTTTTTTTCAAAGAGCACGTGTTGTTTTTCAAACAAGCGCGAGAGTGTCATATTTTCCGGCGTAAACAAATGTTCATACTTGTAGGCCTCTTGCAGTTGGTCGTTATCGTAAAACTGTTTCACGAGTTCGTCGATGATCGTGCTTCTTTGGAAGTAATACTCGTTCGTAACGTATTTGCTCTGAAATCTTGTCAGCAGTTCAGACACTTGACAGTGACCGAAATAATCGTGGATAGCCTTGTTGTCGAAAAATTCATCGCTGATGGACTGTCTATAGGCTGCCATGTTTACCGCGACGATCAGCTGAATGTACGCCATCACGTCCGAACTGGTAGCGGATAAACGGAAATAGTACAGCACGGACAGCATGCGAGCTACATAGGTCTTGTAGCTTCTGAGAACGTGATAATTTTCTATTGTCTCGTGATTTACCATCGCGTTTTTGACACCGTGTAAAACGTACAGCAAGATCATACTGTTGACGCATTTTAGCGCGTCACATTTTTTTTTATACTTAAGCAAGGCCATATTATGCAGCTGTTCGTTGTCGACTGGACTTTGTGACCCGGGTGTATCATCTCCTCTTAATCGTCTCACATCGTCCTCGTCGAAATGGATCTTATTTTTTTCAAACGTTTCGAACTCATTTAACAATAGAAGGAATTCTTCACTTCCTCCCTGCCATGTATGGTCCAGGATGAATGTCTGCAAAAATAATGTAGGACATGATAAAATATGTTGCACATACTATATTTTTAATAATTCGCATAAAATACAAAATGTATAACATCATCGAGTTATAGTTGTACAGTACGTACTTCACGTGGTCAATCGTAGGCAAGTGTACAACAGAATAACAGGCGTTTTATTATGTTTAGTTATTCTTTATTGTTTTAGCCCAATTATTATTGTGATATCTTATTAATCCTAATAAATTATCTAAATCAATATATTTTAAATTATCTTTTCATCCTATCTAGATAAGAAATTCGTTATCCGTTCAATACCATTATGGGCAATGAGCAACTAGAACGTAGAATTTATTAATCAATTTTAGTTTCGTTGATTTATACAAAATACAAATTACCTTGGTTGCTGAAAAATGCATTAGAAACAGCAATGCAATTACGAAGTGTATTCTTGTATTCATGGCGATATTCTTTATGCTTAATTGTTTTTAAAGTAGGTATGTACTTTTAAATAGATATGTGTGTCGGTTGTTTTCTTCCTACGACTGATTAGAAACTGAAAAATACTACTAACGTAAAAACATACTCCCAACAGAAATCACCTAATAGATTTTAAATATTATTATATTACTTTATAATATGTGTAGACACATATTATGTGAGACCATTGTTAAAATTACTGTTTAAGGTTTTTTTTTTAATTTGTACAACTGTGCACATTTTAAATAAAAAAACAATTGTCGAGCGTAGGTACCTACGCATTTATGACCGGTTGCCCCGTCTGTGTTTGTTATGATAACATAACAACGCACGTGCACCAGCTGTTCTTATCAGACCGTTATTTATGTAGCAAGGCAATATAATACAAACACTTGTGAAGAACTGAGAACATTCTATAAACATGACAGGGGCATAGTATAGGCAATTCGAGAAACACAGGCGATATCGTTTCATGCCAGTTTAATTAAGTGTTTTAACTTTAAAAATAAAAAAGGGGCCATAGCAAGTGTATTGAACACAGATGGGGTCACATCTACACCCCAACTTATTTCAAAGAAAATAAATGCCAAGAAAATGAAATTAAATATATCTTCTGTATTGAAAACATGCAATTTTTTAAAGTAGATGTTGCTATAATAAATTCTGTTAAATCATCAGACCGCTATTTAAGGCTACCATGACTAGGTTAAGGTCTTAAGACTAATAGCTAAAAATTAATATATAAATGATACCTACATGTACTCAATAAGCAATGTCATTTTAATTTTATGTTGGTATTATAATATGGTAGGATTATTATAATATTCAACAATATTAAATGATGCATTCGAATAAGGCTGCCGTCGCTCTATACTTTTTTTAATGCATGAAAAAACTAAAACCCATGTCTTAATAACAAACACAATTGTTGTTGTTTACTTTTTAACGCTTTGTCTACGTACCGCAGCTATGCCACACACACCGCAGCACCCGAATAATTTCAACAACTAGTTTCCCCATATGCATATATAATGTATATACAAATGAGTAATGACAAGGACATATATCTCATACAATTTGAATTGCCCTTGCAACGATTTTACAATTAACTGTCGATGGTCATCGATCGTCTCCGTTTTATCACAGAATAGATGATGGTTTTATGTCTGCTCCAACCGTAATCTGTACAGATTATTAACACAGCGGTTTTCATAGAGGTTATTTTAATATTAAAGTTAGAAACTATTGTACTCTAATAACGAAAAATACTAAATTATTGTTGATACCAAGTTGATAGAAAATGTTTTCTAAATTATTTCCACTTGGCTTAAAGTTTTAAATTTTGAACATAGTTGAAAAAATAGCATTAAGTATAGGTAGAACAATTGTCAATTACAAATAATTGGAAGTTTTTCCCAAAAATTTCAAGAAGTGTTGATAACTAGATTCGGACATGAGCTACATGTACTTAATTCATCAAAAAATTTGAATTCGATTTAATTTTTGGTGGAAAATTTAGTTTGTCGAAAAGGAAAATGTACAGTTTAGGCGGATAAAGATCTCATCCGTCATTTTTGATATATGGTAACTTTTGTTTAAGATTATCCAGTAATATATTTTCATCCCGCTAATATTATTTCTACGACTAACCTGGGAGAGCTACAATGCCTCTGAATTTGTTCAGTGTTTATCTAACCCTTCGCTTCTGAGATTTTAAAAATTAGTTTTAAATCCATAAGATCTTTATCAAATACTGTTTTGTTACATGAACCTTTTATTCCGATACTCATAAAAATGTTTAATAATTTCATTTTTAGCTTCGATGCAAAGCGGAGAAGGTATTGGTTTTACTATGATGTGGACTTTTTTTGCGTCTGTATACACTGTAACATTTTTAATACTGGACAAATTCCTTTGAATGGAAACTCTATAAATCACACGTTTTATCTAGTTGATACTTAGGGAGGGGGGGGGTAAAAGTTGAAAAAGTTTACTTAATGCCTCATGGTTAAATGTTTAAAAAACCATACGAGTTTTTATGTTAGAACTTTTACTGGCTATAATTTCGAGAAAAAGAGTCGGATCTAGTTGAAATTTATAAGGAATATTTATTTGGTATGCCCGCACACGTCAGTTGTATGAAATTTAAATTATACCCATTTTCCACCCCCCTAGAGGGGGTACAAGTTCTTATAACAACTCATATGTGTCTATAATATATTAAACGAAGAATAAATTTGGCCCTACAGTTTTTCTTTAAATGCCGAAAAACTGTGTTTTTCACAGATTTCGTATATTTTAACAAAAACACCTAAAACCTTAAAAAAAATGTATCAAATCATTACATAAGTTTTTTTAGATCTATGTAGTATGATACTGTTAAGTTTTGATACCAGAGGACTGATAGCCATTACTTAATAATCTAAATATTGTGGGCGGCGGACTCTGTTACAGAAATTCTATATAATAATAATTATGTTATTATTATAAAATATAGGCTTCCTTGCCTTATTAGTTTGTATCCACTGGCATATATCATCCTAACATCGAGTCGGATGATTAAACAATTAAATCCCTCTAAATTCATAAAAAGGCCGTTTTGGTTAGAATATCTAAAAATAATAGATCTCACGAGCTCAAGTACCTCAGAAGGTCAATCACGCATGGGCTCGGAGAGCATAGTCCGTTACAATTTAGCCAATATTTTATATTATGAAATATTAATTATTGCTATCGATTTAATTGTCATACTACATAATATAATACATCATTTTTAATAAAAATATCTTAATATATATCTAAAAAAATCCTCTATTTTTGTACCAACTATTGAATAGAAATTTCATGATTAATTTGGTATCAAAACAAGAGCTACATTGGAGATCACAGTAATAGAAGATACAGAATATTTTTTTTATAGTTAGTGTTGATAGTATTCAACTGAACAAAACTATAAAAATAAAAAAAAGTGCCATAACAAGTGTATTGGACATAGATGGGTCTCCGCCTCAAGTTATTTAATGCAAAAAAAATCGAAGAAAATGATTTTCAAATTTGACTTCTTTGTTGAAAACATGCAATTTTCAAAAATAAATGTTGCTTTATTAAATTCTGTTCAAATCACTGGACCGGTATTTAAGGCTATCATGACTAGGTTAAGGGCTTAAATAATGGCATTCCAGTTGTATGTATATATCTATTCAGTTTCCGACTTTAACACCTTTGCAGAAAATAAAGTATTGTTAAAAAGATAAAAATCATATTAAAGTTGCCAACAATGCCTAATGCCACATAATGATAGTGTTGCATTAATATTTAGATTAATAAAATATAACCTCCAAACTGAAATACTAAAATCTTGATATCGAGAGTGAATTTTTAAACTCATTAGACTTCGAAGATATTATCCGAACTTTTGCAAACGAAAAATCTTAGAAAAAAAGTTATGTATGAATGAAGAGGATAAACAAGTTGACAGTTGCAATGATAACTAGTGACTGATTTTATAACAAATATAAAAGTATATTTACCTGTAATTAAATTATTTCAATTTTACATGATTATAAATATTATTTATATTCATAAATAAAATTATGTAACATAATATTTTTAATTATTAGTAATTTGTAGTTAACACCCAACCCCTCAACACTCAACATTGAAAATGTCTTCAACACAAAAATTGTAATATATTTTATTGGTATTAACAAACCACAACAGAGCTGTCATTTGTTATTAATACATAAATAAATTTGTCACGATGTTAGCCTTGCAAATGTATAAATACAAAGTATAATGATATCTACCTGGCAAAATAAATAAATTAAACATCAAAAAAAGTTTTCATATTGTAGCTTTGATACAGAGCTGAGGGGATGGTAGGTGTAAGTCTTACAATGATTTGCCCTTTAAAAAAAAAAATGAAATTTGGTCATAGAATTTTATAGAAATAGGTATTTTTGGAATATTACGTTATAATTATAGGGTTATAATGTTCTGTATGTAATGTGTTAGTATAATCATAATTTTGGTTGTTGTATTATGAGTTGTCTACATCATATAGTATTATAAAAACCGTTCGCTTTTGCCAGTGTTTGCTCCTGTAGTAATAAGTTAAGATTCTTGTTAGGTACATTGGTCTTGTTGTTTCAGTATGTGCTTTAAATGTAATTTAAATAATATAATCTAATAAAATATCGTTTAAATAAGTCGAATGACTGTAATTTTAATGTTCTAATTAGAATTAGTTAGGACTTTAGGACTCAATTGCAACACAAAAACCTACAAATAACAATCATACGTGTCCAACATTTGTATTATCATAGTCAGAATGAATACTTTGATTATAGGTACCTAGAGTTAATCGCACTTAATTTGTCTTTTTATGGTCCAATGTAAAGATTTAACAATAACAATAAATTTTACACATTTACTTAAATTTAATTTATGCTAATTGATAAATAATTAAATACAACCCGTAAAAATGGCTAGCTTTATACAGCTCTTACGCATAGCAGTTTAATACTATATTAGCAGTGCCTTTAAAGAATAATGTGTGTTTCAATAATTATAGTGTACTTATGATCAAACTCAACGGAAGACCAAGTGATCTAATTTTAACATAGCACTAATATCTACACTGTAATATCGTAGATATGCAAATCTTGTTAGATTTAGATGAGACTCGTTTGTGTTGCGAGAGCGCAAGTCCATTAATTACAAGGTGCATTTTCACTCTGATATAAATAATAAATATACGATGTATAAAACTGTTGTTTAAAAGAATGGCTTTGTTGGAAAAAATGTTGACCGATGTGCATGTCTATTACACGTCTAACATTGAATTTGGTACCATAAAACGCTAGACCATTTTTAAGTTAATTCATGTTTATGAACATTAAAGAACATAATATGTTCTTTATAATTACTAATGATATATATATATATATATATATATATATATATATATATATATATATATATATATATATATATATATATATATCTACATCTTTCCAAAAGGAATGGTTGAGAAGTATAAACGAATGTTAAGCTACTGAAAAAACACACAAGCGAAATAGTCTGATAGATTTCTAAATCTCTAAAAGTAAAATAGAATCGTGAAAATTAATCTTAATAAGGCGCTACTGCCTTGTAATTTAAAAACAGGATTTGCG